ATGTAAATGTTCTTTTCAGATTTTAAGATCAGCATCAGGCCTGGAAAAAATTGTGCATCTGACCATGAAAATTATCCTGATGAATGCCTCCAGCACCAAATGTTTTCTGCACACATATTATGCTAAAACCCTTAATATTCTCCCTGTGTTTTTGTGTACTTTTAGACAGTTTTCCTTAATTCATTGTTTTAATCCATCTGTTATTTTAGGCAGAAAATGTGTTTTTTGGTGATGGACTATTTGATATCATGGAAGAGAGAGACGAAGAAGGAACAAGTTTCTGTGAAGGCATGATGCAGTAAGGATTAATTTTATCTCTTCAGTCCTGTCCAAACTAAAAAAAATTTATTTGACAAAAACATGTGATATGCCAAAGTATATTCATGATATGATGTCATCACATGACCATATGTAGGCACATCATGACTAAATATGGGCATACAACAGTTTTTTGTTAAAGAAAATTTTATAATCTTGACATAGCTAAGTTTGTTAAACTATACTATTTATACTATTTGCATACTATTTATACTGTACTATCAAACCAGTCACTCATCGCAATTCGTGTTTCAGAGATAATGTCCAAAACATGCTGAAATGTCAGAATTTTTGAAATCTATTTTATTGCACTAAACTAACCATTATATATATCTATAAATCTTGCCATGCTGTTATTTTCACCATTTTCAATGTCAAAACAACAATTTTCAACGAGATGGTGATGGTCTCTGCCTGAGAAATTCCCGAAATCATAAACTTTGAAGGATGATTTATCAAATACTGTTCTTTAAACAGCTTTATGTTTGAATGCTTATAACTTCATAAAGAAATGTCGGATTTAAATAATTCTTTTACTATTTTGTAGCTCTCATTTTACTGTGTAACACTGTATTAATAAGTAAAAATTGATTTTTGCAACTAGTAACTGGTTTGGCTTGTCTTTGCCACATATCAGGGTTGGGCATAAAAATGGGTCAAAAGGCCAAAGTAAATTTTAGATTTAACGCCATTAGCCGCACCCAAACTTGGATGTTTCCAGTGTGCATCCAAAAACCTTCATGTGCTGCTTTTATACAGCTTTATTTTCAGTTTTGATAACTAAATTTTACACATGATCAGCGTCGGACCATACACTGATCTGAAGATTTTTAGCCAAAGGTGGTTGACTGGGTTTTTAATTTGTGTCGTGGGCTGCAAAAAAAAATCACCGTTTTTTTACACAAATGGCCCATGTGCTGCAATTTGCCCACCTGTGTACTGTACTATATGCTCAGTCATCATCTATTTTTTTATTACTATCATCATCACCATTAATATCTTTCTTATTGAAGAATAATTATTTTGCTTTGTTACTTTAAACAAAGATATTTAAAAATGTATAATTTGATTGTTTTTTTAAGCTTGAGAAGAAATTACAATTTTGATGACTGGGAAAGTAACCCAGGGTTCGTGTATAGCCCCGTTTTCAAAAGACGAGCTGTCGGAGGTCCTGAGGCCAGCATTAAGCTGCACATGGCTACATCAATGAGCCAACCAATTACATTTACATGTGACGGTAAGGTACCATTTCTCATTATTAAGACAGTGTACAAATATATACAGCCAGTAGTGTTCGGTAACACCTACCATATTCATTTACATAGTATTTTTGGTATGATTTAGCTCACATAACATACTCTAAATATAGTACATACCAATTATAAAGGCCTACTGCCATGCAAGTCTGATAAATAATTATATTATGTATTACAATAAGTTAGAGATTTCAGTTGAATATTTAAATGAGAATGAATACTTTATTTCTGTTCCTGTATTCTTTTGAATATACCCTTAAATTGGCTGGCTGCCAATTTAAAGTTGTTTGTAGTAAAATATCTACTATATCATCACTGAATAACTATTTTTGTTTGGCACTAACAAATGATTTACTGATTCATGAAAATTCATATGCTGTTCTTTTGAATGTGCAATTCATATTTGAATTTTTGAGGTTTCGTTCTGTTTTTTTTTTTAGCTGGCAAATTAAAGCCTTTAAAACAGACTTACGTAGAACCAAACAACAACTAAATGCAATATGAACACTGAAACTCAATTAAATTTTATAAATAAAATAACTATTGATTGCAGAACACTGTCACTGACTGGGAGAACTGCTTCACTGTTCTGGACTGCAAATAGTTTACATCAGTTAAAAATAAAAGAAGCAATTAATTTTTTTGGGGAAAAGCCTTCTTTAAATAAACAATTATTTCACTTTAATACTACCCTCTCTATATGTAGTTGGTATTTCATGAATATTTAATGAACATGCTATAGTTCATGAATATAGTAACTAACCTGGTAGTCGTAATATGTGGTTAATTTCCATACTCAGGTGCAATGTAATTGCTATATATACTCGAGTACTGAATTGTAATTGTCACTAATGATATGAATTGCCTTTCTCGAAACAGCACTACGGGGGTGCTGGATGGGGGTGGGGGGCACTGTTGCATCCTATACATTAAATGCCTTGTTCTATTTGTCTTATAACTGTAAATATTGTTTAGCGTTGGGTAGGTTACACATAGGGCTAGATGCCTAACAAGCAGTGGAAGTATGATTATCCAACAAGTGCGTCCGGTACTACTTCCATGAATTTTGTCGTCAAATCCTGTTCAAACAACTGAATGAGGATATAGATAACTGGAAGTAAACCGTGTTTGACCCTGAAAATGGGAAAACATAAACACTAAATAAAACTATAATGATGATATATTTCAAACATAGCATTATATTTGAGCACTGTTCTGGGCCCAAATATATGTTACAGCATAGCCTTATGCCTAATATACAATTTAATATTAGAATGTTGATAGTTATTTAGTCACTATCATTAGAGAGACCTACACGTACCGAAAGATAGACGGGAAGATTCAAAGTAATAATGTTTCATCTTATTAATTATTCTTTGAAATTTGAGTGGCGTATCTACGGGGAGTGCAGGGGCGCACTCCTCGCCTAAAAAAAGTTGCTCCCCCAGTCGTGCCTCTCCCCCATTCGAAGCAAAAGAATCAAGTACTTAAAAATCACCTTATTTTGTGAGCTAGGTCCCCCTCACTTAATCATTGAGCCCCCATTTCACCTTCGTGTCCCACCCCTCCCCAAATCAGCCTCCTACCCACCCCCTCCCCCACCCAATTCAAGAATTCTGGATATGCCACTGTTGAAATTTTATGATTAATATTTTGTAGTCCTGCTATAGGATTAGGGAATTTCTGCACATGCAGAGAATATAATACTTGGCAACATCTTACTAATCTTCCCATGAATATCACTTGATATTTAGGATCCAATATCATGCTGTCATTTCATCCTCTATAATATTTTATGGAATTTTGGCCATTATCTCATTATCATCCATCATATCTTGTTATTTATGCTTTCACTGGTGCATTGCAAAATATTGTTTATGCCTTTACTGCAAAGTGACATTTGTTTAGATCTTTGTAAGACCAGCTAGGGAAAGGGAAAGATTGTAGACATTAATAAAGAATGGGAATTAAAAGAATACTGAAAATATATATTATTATTTAAATACAAAATAATGGAATCAAAAATAATGACTAACTGTTGAAAGAGTAAAGGTGTTTTGGTTACTATTGAACCCAACCCAGTAATGTGGTATTTAAAGGGAAGTGTCTTTAACCGCAATACCTAATTAACTACAATATCATGGGTCGAGTCCTTTTTGACCTAGAAATAATGAAATTGAAAAAAAACTATATAAAAAAAATGAACTGCATTTTTATACTCTGCAACATTAATTTAATCAACGTCAATGACATCCAGGTACCTATTCACACCCCTGGATGGGAAGAGCCTCATTACACGATAGCTTCCTGCTATGGTGTAATACCAGGGGGTTAAAAACCAAGCCTCATAAATATATCAACCCACTGAAAACCGCATGGATACATTGTGAAATTAAACTAAAAATCACATAACAGTCAAAAAAAGCATTTGGGAAATTGAACTAAAAATCTCAGAAAAAATGGATTTTTAGACTGGTATGACTTATCGTGTACTTTCTTAGTAAGTAAATCCTTGCCGAGCCACTAGGGCTCATATAGGGCTGATGCTTTTCCCCTGTTTCTGTAGCATAAATTGGATGAGAGTGTGATACTCCCCTGTGTCACTCCCACCAATTTGCTTGTACCCATTGATAAAGCAGGGTAGACTGCAGCAATATAAATAAAGTGCCTTGCTTAAGTTAAGGACACTAGCGAAATGCACAGCGAATGATTCAAACCACGAGGTTTCCCACTGCCAAACCGCTAACATTTTAGTATGGTATACTAAATGGGAAAATTTTATTTTTATTAGGGTAGAACAGTATATTCCTATTAAACAGTTGAAGCAAATGGCATTTTGTTTTGCTGATCCAGAGTGCATATGTTATGACTTCAAATGATCTTGTTGATGATTTGTACATTGATAATGAAATAAATAGTTTAATGTTAAACTGATTGGCATTTCCCTGCTCTGTGTTCTGCTTGCAACAGTATTTTACTGAAAAATCTGTAATTTAACATATAGTAAAAACAAATACATTTGGGTTATGAATATGAAATATGATTAATTTATTGCAGTTCATATGAAATACAGTAAAAAGTATAAAAAAATAAAGTTTAACATGGATATAAAATATTAACTGAAGTAAAACATAGATACATAAAACAAATAATAAAAAAGAAAAACATATTGCTCAAGTATTGTCTGTATTGATTCATGAAACGGAACTCATTATAAATCAACAACAATAATTATTTCCTTTTAAAATGAGAAGTTCAATGCGATTTTGTTGGGATTTTTTTTTGTTTCACCTCAAAGAGTAACATTTATTGAAGCTAATTTCGTTTCTGAAAGTGAGCCTATTCATCAACAATGATTCACATTCCGAAAAATCCCAAAAGTAAAGCAGCTCTGTCTGCTAAACATGTTTGCACAGTACAGTAGTCTTGATGTGCAGTCAACCATAAAGTATGCACAAGAGTTTAGTAGGTCAAAGGTTGAAAAGCTCTAATGCCATTGGTTGAAATACTTGTCAACAAGTAGAGCATCTTAGGAAGATGTGAACAGCTACTGTACTGTCAATCATATGTATTGGTTGGTATCAATTATAGTAAAAAAAATGCAATTTAGTCAAGTCAATACAAAAAGTTAAGTTAGTGGTTGTAAATCATAGACTTATTTTAAACCTTGTTAGCTAACGTTATTTTGGAAATTTTTTTAGAAGAGTGCTGAAAAATAAAATAGTATTTTGTCATTTAGTATAATCACTACCGCTTGGGCCCAGGCCGAGACAAAACAAAAAAATTAATTTAAAAAAATCAATGACATTAATATGGAAAACAATATTTTGATCTACTCTTTGTGTCTGTAATTATTTGAATTAGGGATCTCACTACATAAAACGTCCAAACCCCCACCTGATTGTGCCTCTGCTGGCCCCCAGACCTCTGCTTGTAGTTCTTGGTGCCCCTGAGTGAAATGGTTCTATCTCAAGCATTTAGGTAAAAAATAGAAATAAATGTCAATTGGTGAATGAAAAATAAAATACTCGGTCAAAAGTAAATGAGGGTGACCTAAGTCTCGAGATCGCATCACATTAAAATTGCATGGGAAAACCCTCAAACGGAACAAAAAGTTGAAATGAAACCATTAATTTTACCCTAATCAATCATTCATATTACAAGGTTTTAGATGTATAAAAAAATGAATCAACAAAAATTCTTTTCTCTCTCACTATAAAACTTAGAAACACTCTGAATTCTATTTGATAATGTTATTGTAGTTAATACATCCGTTGAACATGTAATCAGCCAAGGGTTATGCTACCTACCAGAGCCTCTATCTAGCCTACCATCAGAACAGTTTATGCTTAAGGTACAAGGTGCTGCAGAGTTCCTCCATCAGTGAGTAGCTTTTGATTGTGATGATAATAATGTTGAGTGATGATAATAGTGATGGTAATGAAGAATGTGTATATGCATTGTAATGATATTGATGATAATGCTGATGAAAGATGATGATTATGATGGTAACAATGAATATGATGGTTACAATGATGATGATTATATATGATGATGATAATAGTGATGATGCTGATAGTGATGATGGATATGAATGGTAATTGATATGTATGATGGTGATGATACTTCAATATTGTAGTCATGATTTTGATAATGTGATTATGATGATAAAGATTCTGGAAATTAGATTATGATGACAATAGCTGCATGTTGAAGGAGAAATATGCTTGTGTCACCTGTATTTTCTTTCTCTATGGTGCCACTAATCAGTCCTTCCCTGGATGAAAACTAAATTATATAAAACATAACGAGCAATGATGGTGATGATGAAGGTGATGGTGTTGGTGATGATGATTCTAAAGATGGTGAAATGATGGTTTACAAATCATACAATTCTAGCATACAATAATTAATTTCCATAAAGCATTTTTTTTTAAATTTACAGTGATGCCATGCTTGGAGACTTTGAGTACGTGCAGAAGTGTAGAAAGTTTGATAGGGATATTTACCTTCAACTTCTGAAAGAAGATGACGTGACAAGGGATCTCGCAAGAACGGTATGCACACCTCACGATTGTATTGTTAGAGTGGAAGAGAGCGTGATCTAGTAGAAATGGAACAAAGATCAAATATAAAAAGGAGTTATCATTTCATTATCATCATCAAGAAGTTAGAGAGGTTCCTAATCGTCTGCGTGTAGCAAGAGTCTCTGAGAAATCAAAATCTCTTGCTAACTTATCTGTCTCCTTTAAAATTCAGAATGTTTTTAATGCTGTTTTGATTTTCTTTTGGGTATCACCATTTTCAGAAAAAAATTACAATAGGATGTGTTAGCAAAGCTCATTAAACTGTATCTGAATTGACTTCTAGCCCAACCTTTGACACTCCAGTCTACACCATCAAATTTTATGGACACATCTGTGTGATATTCCCATATATGGGCATGATGATGTCATACTACACCCAAATATGGGCATATCACAGTTATTTGACATATACAATTTGATAGTGTAGACAAAGCTTTAGGAAAATCTGTTACATTCACAAGACTATTTTCATGAATACTTACCTGAATGAACGAAATGCCTAAGTTCATCACCTTTGATTTGTGTAATCTTTAATATCTGTAAATTTATTTGTGCAGGTTGAAGATGACAAACAAGATGTTAATGTAAAGCGCTTCTCAAATCTATTTGAAAGACCCGTCACAACAGCAGTGACAAAGTAAGTTACATACATGACAAAGTAAATTACAGCACCGGATCCAGAGAAGAGGGGTAACAGTGCCAAACATGCTTCGATCTATTGATTCCCCTCCCCTGCTGTTTTAAATTATTTATACACACCCAATTGCTTTGTCTCATAAATTGATGACATAGTAATAAATACAGGGATTTTTATACACCTTTTGCCAAGGGATACAAGGCGATGGCGATGTCAATATTATCCCTGGTTATTGATTTCATAATCATACCGGCACAAAGTCCACCTCCTCTACTCACTGGAGTATTCCTAGTCATGCTTGCACTTTAATGCTGATATAGCTAGCAAAACATGTTAATTTCGCCTTTTGGAAGCTAAACGTAATCTCCCTTTTTTGAACACACTGAAGATACATCAGACCTATTTATACAATCGTGTATGTTCACTTCACTTTATTGAAGTTACAAAAAGCGTGTTTTTAGTGGGGTACATATTTCAAGTCAGCGATTTAGCCTGACCCTAGGCTGACTAAAAAAATCGGCCTGAGGTGGTATAATTTTAGTCTAGGTTCACATGATTTAGTTGTAGTGCTAGACGAAGTTTGTTTTAAGAATATGAAATGACATAATTTTGAAGTTTCAGCTCAAACTACGACTTCATTTTAAGAATACCGGGGTTATACATTCAGTGTCACGTCATCTTACCAGGTACCCAAGGACACAAGCAAAATTCACAGCGAAGGTTTGAACCTCCAACATCAAGATTGAGGGACCGAAAACCCAACCACTGCATCAACCCTCCCTCATACAGACAAGTACATACAGATTAACACATTAAAGTAATACTCATATACACACATTAACATGTGTGATATACACACATTAAAATAATATCGATGAACAAATAGAAGATACAAAATAGATTTCTTTGTTAATGTGCTCAACTTCGTTTACATAAAATTTTCCATATGCTACTCAAGCATAAATAATTAGTAATGCATGAACGTAACAGGTATACCCACAAATAGATACACAGATGCATACAGAAACAGATAGTAATACAGTATATACAGTATAATGGAATTGCGTTGGTTTTACATAAACAATAGGAGCTTATGCTTCTTAAATTAATTATTCCCTGGATATTCAAACTGCCATGTGTATGCACAACTTCCTTGACTAGTTGGGAATATTCATAGTCCAATTGGTACTTCTGCACCGGGCCAATATCATCCCGAAACTTTAAACATTGTACTGGTACCTATTATGCCCACTATGGTGAAAGAAACTACACTGAAATAAATTTAAACCAACACAAAAATTATAAGCTTTATTAAACAGAATTTACAATGTTACCATACCATTCATAATACAATAAATAAAACTTATTCCAGGTACTATAAAGCAACTTATTTCCTGTCTTGATAGTTTTGCTAGCTCAAATTGTGGAAGCAGTTTGGCGCAGCGGGAACGGTCGAGGTTTCAATCCCTTGCTGTGCATTTCACTTGTGTCCTTGAGCAAGGCGCATTATCTGCATTGCTTCTCTCCACCCAGGAGTAGAAATGGGTACCTGGTTGCCTGCTCCTGTGCTGATTACCAGCAGCAACATTTAAACCATGTGGACCCAATGACCAGGGAAAAGAACTGCTCTTTATAACCACAAGAGGTGCATTATGAATGCCTATACCAATACCAGTAAATTACAAGTATAGATATTTGTTTATACTATAATTATAGATACCATAATTTTTAGAACATTTTACAGCAATCTGCCTCTATCTATTCATTCATTTACCACTAATTATTACATCATAAATATCAAGGTTGTTAATGTTGCAACACATCTGTTTGGCTTGCTCCTATAAACATATGGTATATGTGTATATGCTATATATACACACAACCAGTATTCACATAAATATGTTAAATGGCTTGGTTTCAAGTTACCACACTCTAGTAAATACTCTTCAGTTTCTGTTTATTTTTCATCATGCCTGTATTTGCTTATGATTGCCTATATTATGTTAGAGTAGCCTTCTTACAATCTTGTACGTTGTCAATTACCCATCTACAATTATCTTTTATTTCACTTGAAAGTATAAACATCCTGACCTATTTTTCCTGTGATTGGTTGTTCATGGGTACATTTATGTGTATCTGTATATACTTGCTGGCCATGTAATATACTATTCATGTCAATAATATGAGATAAAGCTACTTTACAGTATTTTATTTTGTGCTTGAACTCTCTTGTTTCCAATAGATTCAAATCACCAATGGTATGGGTCTAGTAACCCGAACAATACATCACATTTGTTATTATAATTATGCTATTTTTTGTATCCTACTCTAAAAAGGGAATTCCCAAGAATTGTTATGTTATTGTAAATCTGTTATTGTTAAGAAATAAGAGCATGCTTGATAAACTCTCAAAAGATATAGATTATTTGTTCAGACAACTTCTAATACATAATGCAATGGAATGTAAACAAAAATATGTTATGTTCGATTGAACCGGATTGGATATATTCAGCGTAAAATGCACCAAGGATAAATCACGAAAGTCTGAAGACTTTATATCCGATGGGGTCGTATATTACATAGCCTTCAATACTGGAATAAAAAATTATTATTTGATTTTTAAATACATATTATTATCTGCCATTTTTATAATGTATAGTAATATCATAAATCATTTCACCAAACCTTTGATTTCTATCTTATATTTTTCTCTTACTGGTTGATATGATTTTTATATTTTATAATTGTCCCATTGAGTTTTGAAAAGTACTTTTTAACAAAGTAGCACAACATACAGGCATACAACAAACAGTTTTAATAAATTAAAATGACTTTTAAAAAGTTGTTATTATGGCATTGCTCTACTAGTACTATGTAGCCTTTAAAAGTACTTAATGGGTTTTGTACTGCTAATCCAAATTTTTAAAACAAGTGAAACTTAAATTAATTATTGAATATTGTATTATTAATTATATAATATATTATATTATTTTTCATAATCCTTTTGTGTATTGTTATTCTATTTGTTGTGTAGGCTTGGTTTATCTGTGTTGATGGATGCGTTCTCAATGGAAGTTAACAAGCTCAGGAAGGCAATTAAGGTAAACAATGCCTAAATATGGTCATGATGACATCACTTCATGACCATATATAGGCACATCATGACTATATATGGGCATACAGTACAACTAGGTTTTTTTTGTCAAATAGTCTAGACAGAGCTTCTTGAACAATAACTTTCAACATGTGAATTAGTTATTGTTTATAACAATCATTTACATTATGATAATGTATACGTACTCCTTGTGTTAAAGCCCTGTCCAGACTATCAAATGTTATTTGACAAAAACATGCTACATGCCTAAATATGGTCATGATGACATCACATCATCACCATATATAGGCACATCATGACTATGTATGGACATACACCTGTTTTTTTGTTTATAACCAAGTTGGCTTTCAATTTACAGTCACCTGGAGAGGTTCACTGTGTGAACGAAAGCTTGTGCTCAATAAAATATTTGAATACTGCCTAAGTGTCTTTTTGTATAGCTTTCAATAGAAATGTCAATATTTTATTAATAATGCTGTAATTTGATTACCATTCATTTCCTTGTTTACCAGGAAGCCTCAATTGATATATTTTTGTGATTTATTTTGGAAATGTTAAGTGTTAAAAGTGGTTCCAGATAGGTTTGGCAAGGGAGGAGGAACATGATATTGTTTTCACTTCGCATTCACAACATCAGAATTTGGCACATAAGGTTTTTAAGGATACAATTAAAACTTTGCTTACTCTATGTTCAAACAAAATAATTAAAAATTAGAACAAAACAATAAAAAAAATTAAATATATATAAAACGTATTTTTTAATATACTAATGTATTTTTTATCTAATCTATTTTTTATTATTTACCTAGATAAATTTAAATTTTTTATAATTCATAAGTTATTAGATGCATTACAGAATTTTTGGCACATGAAATGACCATAATTACCATATAATTTTATTGTTTAGACCAGTGGTAAGCAGCATACAAGTCCAGTCATCCAGGCCGCAAACGCCATCTGCCACACATTAGCGTACGTTGAAACCAGCGAGATCAGTAATGCTGTTAGCTTACTGAAGACTGGTACGGGAATCGAAAGCGGCCTAGAGAACTTAACAGTAGCAATCTTTAAGCTGATCGACATGTACTGTAAGGCGTTTGACACTACATTCACCGCATGGACGGAAGAACCTTGTAAAAGGATGGAGAGCATTGAGACGATTCAAAGGCAACTGCAGTTTAGGATCTCCGCTGCTCATAGGGTACCAGCTGAATGGAAAAGGTTTCTGGCACAGTTTGTTTTAATTGTTGATTTAAATAAATCTTGAATAAAGTACATGTGATTTTCACATACTGTATGTGGCAAAGACAAGCCAAACCAGTCACTCGTCACAAAAATCGATTTTTAGTTATTACCACAGGGTTATATAGTAAGATGAGAGCAATAAAATGGTAAAAGAATCATAAAAATCCGACATTACGTTTGGAAGTTACAGAAGTTTAGACAAAAAGCTGTTTAAAGAACAATATTTGAGAAATCAGCCATTATAGGTTTATTTATAAGTTTATAATTTTGGCCGTTTCTCAGGCAGAAACCATCACCAAATTGTTAAAAATTGTTGTTTTAACATCAAAAATAAGGGAAATAACAGCATAGCATGGTATATAGATATATAAAGGTTAATTTAGTGTAATAAAATAGATTTCAAAAATTTCATGTTTTGGTCATTATCTCTGAAAAAGGATTTGCGACGAGTGACTGGTTTGGCTTGTCTTTGCCACATATATTTAATACTGTCATTTCAGTAACTTTTTTATACATCAAAATTAACTACTGTATATTAATGGTTATATTATTACTCTATTATTTGTGATAGAAGTTTTTGTTGTTTTTCGTATAATGTTCAATTCAATCACTTTAATCTTGTTTCCTTTTAAATTTCAGCTATGACCATCTCACTGTTTCTTGTCAAATATTTTATGGCGGAAGGCCTCTTTGCACTCCGGTTGAAACATGGCCATCAAAAGTGACCACTCGTTTTTTCAGTAAAATCAAATGGGACCGAGAGTAAGTCTTATATATCATTATAATTAGTAGTATTTGTTCATGTTACTTCTGTTTTTTGATTATTAAACTGGTTAATTAGTTAGTCATACAGTGAGGATTAGTTTTGTTTATTTGTTGTTTAATTTGTTTGTATTATTTTTTATTTATCTATTTATGTATATGTTTGTAAAAAAAAATTGATGTAATCGTATCTTTGTCCTTTAAATTTCAGCATTGATATTCCTTTATCCATCTGCAATTTACCAAGGGAGTCTAGACTGTGCTTGACTTTATATGGTAGTCATTCAGACAAGACCGATAAGACAACGCTAGGCTGGGTTGCTGTACCACTCTTCAACTACAAAAGGTAGGTTGGCTGTAATAATTTACTCATTTATTCAATTCTATATTTCAGAATAACTTTTTCACACCACAAAATTAAACTACTGTACATTTATAATATTATTACTGTATTATATTAATATTATTATTATATTATTATATCTTTCTTTATAATCTGGGCTCACGCTGACCGATCACCAGGTCGCCATACGCGAAAAAAATTTTGGATTGGCGAAGAAAAAATCAACTGCTTCAGTCATTTTGGCAAAGGCCTAAAATTAAAAAAAGTTTTAAATGCTTGCTAAAATACATCATTTTTTTTCATTTGAGCTCCATTTTTGCTAAACTCCATGCGACGCTTATTTGTGTTGTTGTATGAGTAGTCTTGCTGCAAACGTCATTGCCTGTCTCGCAAGTTATCTTTTAATTGTAGTTGTTATTTTAACGCGGTAGATGCAGGGCAGTGGCTGTATGACTGAGACTAAGATGAAGGTACCACTACTAGCTTGGGTTTTTCCACTAAAACACAAGGGCCGATGTGGTGTGGTGGTGGTAGAAATCTAGTAAACCACCGCTAGCTACCATCCCCCAATAATGTTCAAATGTTAGAGTGAGCCCAGATAAATGTTTGTCAGTATTTATAACATTTATAATAGTTAATTTTTATACATAATTGTATTTATTTATTTTTATTTATTTGTTCTTTATACTGGGTTACCTCTTCATTAAAATGTTTCTGTTTTCACAGAGGGCCCAGTACACAGAAAATATTAAAAAATTACATGAATAACAACACAAAATATTACTACAATCACAAAGCAAAAATTTAAGTTCAATTGTTTTCAATGAGATAATTTTATTTAATAATGATTGATTAGAAAATATTAAAAACAATCCCATGTTTTGAAGTTAGGAAATTGATTTTTTTTCTTAATAACCTTTAAAGTAATATGTTTTTTGTGATTAATTTAGCAAAATAATTTGATATGTTATATATAGTGTCTCCAAGCATGTATTTTCTTGTGGTTTTTAAATTGTTTTGAATGAAAGCACAACTTCCCAAATACCTGTATGAAATGTTAATTTGCTTAAATGGGATAAGCTACCTCATGAGAGTATGGGTAATTTTTAATATCAATTTCACTTGGAATGGATTCCTTAAAGTCTACATCTGGGACACCTGCATTATAAGAAAATGATGACACCTGTATACAATTTAAATACATGAGTTAATTGGTAAACAAAATCTTTTAGAACTGTTAAATATTAATTTCCTCACTGGGAGCGCATCTACAGTAAATTTGGTAGCTAAAGACAATATATCTACTGTAGTAGTAAGATGGGTAATTAAAATATGAATTTCACTATGATTAGTTTCCTTAAGCTGTACAACAAGGACATTATGCATTCAACATCAAATTTCTGTATAAAATTTTAATACAGTTGCTTAATTGCATGAAATATTTAAGGGGATTTAGGTAATTAATAATTTTAATTCAATTTAACCTATAGTCATTTATATAGACTTTATGCCTGGTAAAATCTATGTAAATTAATATCTGTAGGTGTAAGAAGATTTACTGTAATTATAATGACAACTGGTTGATTAACAACTTACATGGTTAATAGTTACGGGATTTGCATTGCCAAATAAGCTGAGTCACCACATGACAAATTATATTATAACACCATTGTTTGTGTTTTACAAATACTGTAAAAATAAATATTGCTCACTTTAACTTGTTCTGGCAGTCTTTTGGCAGTGGTATTTAACACATGGTTTGTATAACAAATAATTTTGCTATAAATCTGAGAGTTTTATTTTAAAATACAAGGAACTCACCACAGCAGTGTTCTGTTTTTTTCTCTCTTGCATAATGTTTTCTAGAATTAAAGTGAACCCACACACTGAAAAAAGGGTGTGGTCCAGGTTAGTGTGTTAGCAATTTGTGCACGCTTCCGTTAATTCAAGTACTAACAGTATTTTATTTTTTTTATATTATGCACATTTTTTGTATGTTGCATTATGGGTAGCACACACTTTTTTAGCATACTGCAGCATGGGAAATGTACACTTCCTTTTTGCAAAATACTGGGTAAAATTACCCACACTGCTTATGTTGTTATTAATTCTGATTTAATTGTCTGTGCATTTGTTTTTCTTCTGTGTATTTTTTCTTAGTATGCATGGTATATAATATTTTGCTAGAATGGTTGAACAACCTAGCCTAGCATTTTATTCATAGACATATTTTTACTACTGTGTGTTTTTTTTAACTTGGGCAAGTGCTTCATAAGCAGTTGCCCATGAACTTGTGGTGTTTTAAGTGGTCATTTATCTAACATAGCAAATAACAAATTTATTGTGTCATTTGTGAATACTTACTTGGATGATACCGATATATGCCAAGTTGCCCTCTGCGAAATTACATTAAAGATAATACGAGTTACCTTGACACTAGATCTGATTTTTATAATAATAATAATAGTAAATATGATTTATATAGTGCCTTTCCAAATTGATCAAAGCGCTTCACAAGTACAACATTAGAAATACAGTAAGATTTTACAATAATTATTAAGAATACAATAAGTAATTAAAATTTAACCGATATAAGAATATAATTTGAAAAATACATGAGCGAACGACAATATGATTTACATACAGTATAAATTAAGTTACAATTTTTGTGGTGGGTTGGGGAGTAGCGTGGCATGGACTGCATTGGCCGATGAATGCTATATATGATCACTTGCCCGACAACAGTAGACCCAACACTCTCAGTGGTATATTGAGCAGATCATTGCATCTGATGCGCTGTTGCATTCTGTTTTGATGTTGACAGTATATTCCAGGCCTAAGTATCTCACTCATAGACTACCAGACTCACCTTTTGATTTGTGTACTATTTGTACAGTATTAGAAATATACCTACAAGATACTGCATCTGGTATAATTGTCCAATGACAGGGTTCTTCCCTGACCTCCCACTGACACTGCCACTGACCTGTTGCAGGCTTCAAAAGAACTTCATTTAGTTCATATAACAAGCCTGTCATCCTGGATAGAGATTCTGAAGATTTATGTCATTGATATAATTTTACTTTTATTAAGCTCTATATAATATTAACTATTTTTTTCAGGTTTACTTTCAATTATAATGATTAGAAATTGCATTTGATTAATTTAGATTTTTATGCTTGTTTGTAACTGCTTAGTGAGGAACTTACGTAACTTCCTGCCACAAATGAGAATATTTGCACCAGATAGGCTAACAATTGTAATGTAGCCGCCATAATTTAATGAACATACCATTAAATGCATATTATATGATTATAACCCCATGCCTGGTTGTGAAAATATATATATGCTTTAAAATGGAATTTTAAGAGATCTGAATTGAAATATTAGCTATTTAATTGTTTCAGCACTATTTAGGTATAGTGTTCAAAAGCTTTGACTTCCAGGCTGTGTGGGAAAAAATGTTTTATATGTTGGTGGTGTTTGAAGAAATGGTTGTGAACGTTTAATGAGATACAGATTTTGGAATATTTAAAACTGGGGAAAAGGGGGCGTAACCACATTTCAAAAATTTTCCCTCCAGATCCTGGCTTTAAAATTATGTATAAAGAAAAGTCTCCATATACACATACAAAGAGGATAACCATAAGAAAATGATGAAAACTCATTTTTGACAAAATTTATGCTCCTGTCTATTTTTGGTATTATCCCATTATCCCAAATTCAGCGGGAATTGCAAAACACTTAATAGTGTAGCGAGGGTTACAAAAAGCCTGCATCATTTCCAAAGTAGATCCAATTTCCTTGTGGGTTTGCTACATAGTACAATTAGTAATGACATGGCCATCTAAATTGAATTTGCATATATTATGCATGACTGAACAAGGTCAAATGCACACTCATGACAATTTCACATTTTTTTGCGACACAACAATGTGGGCTTACTGTAACATTCATACATACATTGGTGTAAATGAAAACATCCTGAGGTTGCCATTTCGTGATTGGATGCGAGATTCATCACATGTAAACATGTGAGAATGCAACTCATTTATTCAATAATTAAAGCTAATTTTTAACTTGATGACTGAACTGTGTAGTATTTGAGCTGTAGCTTGGTGGCTAAGGTGCTTGATTTTTTACCCGAGAGTCCTGGGTGCAAATGTAAAATATGGGAATATGTTTCACATGATGTGACTTAAGGTGTGTCCACAATATCAAACCTTATGTGACAAATTTGTGTGATGTGCCCAAATATGGGCATGGTGATGTCATAGTACACCCAAATATGGGCATGGTGATGTCATAGTACACCCAAATATGAGCATATCACCTTCATTTGTCTCATAAAATTTGATATAGTGTGGACAGCTTTAGAGCAGTTTGTAGAGCATCTAGTTCCATTATATAGTGTAGTTGCTGTCAAGGTCTGTTTCACACTATTAAGCTCTGTCTGTTGTATGCCCATATATAGTCATGATGTGTCTGTATATGGTCATGATGTCATGTCATGTCACAAATAACATTTGATAGTGTGAATAGGGCCTTAAATTTTATGTGATTAAAATAACTATGTTTTATATCACGAAGCTGAAAGAAAAAAATGTTTTAATTTTATCATTTCTTGTACTATATTGGTTGTAGAACTGAGCTGTAAAAATTGTTATGTGAAAATGCAAATTTTAGTAACATTGTTCATGCCATTAGTGTTTCATCATAATTTCATCCTAACACCTCATTTTTATGCTTCTGGAAAGCTCACAAACTTACCAGTTTCTCAAACATAAAGCTTAAAGGATAGCGACATTCAAGATTTGGCATATTTTAAATTCTGTTGTTGTCTAATTATAGCGTCCTACTGAGTGGAAACAATTTGCTAGGCTTGTGGCCAGACTCCAACAGTAATCCAATTGGAACATGCGCCTCGAATATCATGGACCCAAGTAGTGTTATTTTACATGTGAGTAATTTAAAGTAAATAATCTCTGTATTCTAATTTTGCTTGCTTCTTCATAATTATTTTCAGATTATTTTAAATTTTTCTGATATATATTTATATATTGTGATATTATATTCATGCTGATTTTTTTTTGACTTACATTTATTTTATTTTTGATACCAACATTATTTTTTGTGATACTGATTTAAATAAATGCAAACTTATTATTATTAATATTATTATTATTATTATTATTATTATTATTATAATATTGTTAAATTATCATCATTGTTGTAATCACCAAAACTATTGCTGTTAATATTATCATCATCAATAATATTTTTATTTATTTCAGATTGAATTGCCATCAAGTACTAACAACGTAATCTTTCCACCTGTCAAGACAACAGTTAATACCAACCTCCAAGGACTGAGTGCTCTGACAGTTGAGGAAGAAGAACGCATCAGTGCTATCCTCCAGAAGGATGTCCTCTCCAGGTAACACCTGATGGTGAAGTCTCTGGGCAATTCATCAGTCTATTACGTAGAATTCCATTGCAAAAATATAATGCTCTCTAGCACTAAGCTAAACGAACAACTGTGGTTAAAACCGACAGATTAATTGTCGTTCTTTTAAATTTGGGACAGAGGTCCAGTAGCACAGGTGTTAATTTCTCATGACTCATGGACAGAAGCTCAACACACAGGCAGTGTTCTCTCGAAGCCATTTTAGTCGTCAATTTTACCATTAAAAATAACTGACCAACCAGTAAAAATTGTGTGTCTGGTAGAATAAAAAAAAGCACTTATTAGGCCTACAGTAAGTAGCGTAGGCTGGCATTCGTTCAATAAATAAACATCATTCCAGTCCAAGCCTAGGCTATGATTATATGTATTGTTTTTTGAAGCCATTGAATTCCACTTAAAAGAGGCAATACCTCACATTGCGAATGCTTACCTGGCTCTATATGGACAAACACTGACAGGTGATCATTTCTCATGACTCATGGATAGACGGCCAACACACAGGTTGCCATTTGTCATGACCTATGGCTCTATATGGACAAACACTGACAGGTGATCATTTCTCATGACTCATGGATAGACGGCCAATACACAGGTTGCCATTTGTCATGACCTATAAACAGAAATCTAACACAGACCTGTGGCCATCTTTCGTGACTTGTGGACAAAACCTGTACACAGATTGCCATTACTTATGGTAACTCAGAGAAATGCAAAAAAATTGGTGGCCATCTCTCATAGTCCCTAGATTAATTAGACAAACTTTTCTTTGCTCATTGCTAGGCTTGAAGATGGAGATGCCCACTTTCTTTGGTCCAAGCGTCGCTACTGCTATGAAATCCCCACAGCCCTGCCTAGGATATTGAAAGTGGCTAGCAGTTGGGCTTGGGCTAACTTGTCAGATATCTACTCCATGATAGCCAGCTGGAAGCCAATGCCACCAGTAGAAGCATTGCATCTACTGAACCCACAGTGAGTACAAAGATGGTGTTCACAATCTTGAGGTTTGGGTTCACTCTGACGCCGCCCATATTTTTCGTGTCTTCCTTTATCTGGTATATCTTTAATATTAGTTTATTTAGTTCGTAAGATTTTGGATTTATTAAAAGTGCAGATGTTTGTTTAAAAATTTGCTGATGACTTTAATTGGTTTTATACGTCAAGATTACAAGCACAAACAGTAATACCGAACAGCATAGCTCAGTCGGCTAAACAGTGGGCTATTATTCAATTGAACACGAAACAATTACAAAATGCTTTTAATATACAACAATCAAATAGATTTTGTGATTTTTGTTTACATATATTCTTTTCCAGTTTCGCTGATCAGGAGGTTCGTACATTAGCAGTCAGCTGGATTAAGGCAATGACAGATGATGACCTTTGCGATTACTTACCACAATTAGTTCAGGTAAAATTTTATTACTCTTGTTGGCTAATCCAGGTCATATGACATACATAGTAGAATAACAAGTAATTAAAGCCTGTGGAGATACACTATGGGATTTGTCTTTACAGAGCTCTTCTTCCATTTGTGTGTGTGTGGGTGTGTGTGTGTGTGTGTGATTTTTGAATACTTTCCTGAATATCGTAATATTGCTATTGTTTCTTTAACTAGAACACCCCTGAAAATTGTGAATTGATTTTAATGACCAAATTGTTATCTTTTCTTTGTTTCAGGCATTGAAATACGAGAGTTACCATGACTCTGCATTAGCCAACTTTTTAATTGAACGCTCCATGACAAATGTCCGCATTGCGCACTATCTTTATTGGTGAGCTAAACATGTTACAAAAGAATTACTATAAACATTTTACATTACTTTACATTATTTACGAAAACTATCTATGTCATTACAATACAGCTGCTGTTTACCCTGTAACTGTTGGCATTTTGATGTTTAATATGATTCTGTGTTAATGCTTGGCTTACACTATGTTCCCGTGCCTTCAGCAGCCAAATTTCAGGCCACCGTGAGTAAAACAGGATGGACATGAGACAGCACGGAGGGACGGGATGGGCAAACGTGACAGGTCGTGATTGCCGTGGATGCCGGCGCAGATTTTTAAACTGTCAAAAAATTTGCCACGGCAGTCCCAGTGTGGATGAGAAACCTAGTAGGCCATAGTAAAATGGGGCGAACGCAACAAAATGTGACAGTACATAATAGGCCATAACAAAAATTGGAGGTGCTCTGTAGTGGGACGGGAAGCATAAATAGGAAAAACGCCACAAATAAAACAAGAAGCAATTGACGAAGACCAAGCTGTGAAAGAAAAAACCTGAGTAAGACCACAAAACTTGAATATGGAGGGGAAAAAAATGGCCAAAATCATACAGCGCACTACATTTTGGACAAACAGGGTTGCCATGGCCACCAGGAAAATAATGTAAACCTAGCATTAGAACTTTAATATAGGACACACTAAATTTTTTCATAGACAAATTTTTTCCCACATTATTATTCTAGGTATTTACATGACGGTTTAGCAGATAATCAGTATAGAGTGCGATTTCAAATGGTCCTTGGTGCATTGCTATGCATGTGTGGTAAAGCATTACGGGAACAGTTCCACTACCAAGACGCCCTCATCAAGAGCTTGACATTGATAGCAGATGGAGTCAAATCAGCCAAGGATTCAATGAGAATGGTTTGTGTCTCATTTCAATTAAATAATGACTATTGTCCTGTTTACTCAGACATTAATGTAAATAAATTTAATGATGAGGCTGATAATATGAGGATTAGGACTAGGAGGATGAATGGGATAATGAGGAATGATTATTAGGATGATTATGATATTATGATAATGAAGTGAAGAATGATAATCAGTATGATAAGAAAGATAATGAAGAGGAGAAACATGATAAGGAGTAGGATACAAATGAGGATAATGATGATGAGGTGGAGAAGGGGCAGAACTCTTGTAATAAAACAGATAATTCATTTTATTATAATGAATGTGAGGTTTATAATGATTAAAGTAAAGGTGATGTTGCAGAGGAGAAGCATGATGATTAGAAGGATAGTTGTGATGATGTGGAGGATTATTATAAGAAGGATGATGGTAATGATAATGATGATAACAAAAAAATAGTATCTCAACATGCTTTTCAAAATATTCGGGATAGTACTAGCACTCATAAGTTTCATTTCTACCCCTTTGTAGAATATACTGCAGTCTTCACTAACAGATCTTTCCATGAATATTGCAGAGGAGCTTCGTTTGCCAACATCACCAAGTTTAGACGTAAATGGCATAAACATTAAGGTTTGTCACAAATTGTTTATCGATAGTAAAAGAAATATTGTGTGATAGATTATTTACATCTATCGCAGTTGTATTGCTCTATGGAAAGCAAAATAATGATGATGAAAAATGATTACATGGTTGTTTGTCTCCCTCTAGGCTTGCTCCTATTACCCATCATTCACTGTACCTCTTAAGTTGTCTTTCTACAATATGGATGCCTTAGGAAGTGATATTATCACTATTTTTAAGGTGAGTCTCTTATTAATTATTCTTTGTGAATCAGTAAGATTTAAATATCCATATACTTTATTTGAGAATGTGTTCAACTACTTGAAGAAATTAATTTGTTCTACATTATAATGCAGGAATTTATGTGGTCTATACTGTAGAATCTTATTTTAAAATTAAAAAATTACAGTGGTTTACTTTATGCTGCTGTGTTTTAATATGATAACCATGTGATTCCTTAGGCTGGTGAAGATATGCGTCAGGATATGTTAATAATGCAGATGATACGTATCATGGATAAACTGTGGTTATCAGAAGGACTTGATATGAGAATGATCACGTTTACCTGCTTAGCTACTGGAAAAAATCAAGGCAAGTATTAAAATGTCTCTTCTCCCATTCTCTTCCTCTCAAAGTGTTTTCTCTCCCTTCTCCTTTTTACCTACTCTTTACCTCCAAATATTATTATTATTATTATTGAACATATTTATACAGGATAACATCTCAGGAGGATGTAACAGCCTGTTTTACATATGGTCCTGTTTTGCCATACAAGCTTATAGTATATAAAATATCAGGAAGTTGCATCAATAAAATTGATAATGACAAATTAAAAATATAGAATTTAACTTTAATTACTTCAACATATGACTGTTCAATTTACTATATATATTACATGCCATTAATAAAAATTGATACAAAAAGATTATAACAATTTAATTTCTTAGGTATTTTAGTAGTGATAAATCCAGATTGGACTTTTTGAAGGGCCTATTGAGTCTGCAATGCCTCTTGAACTATTGTTTGATAATTAAATGAATTAATGGATACTGTAATTGTATACAGTAGAAAAAAATGTGTCTTCAATTTTTTTTACAGGTATGATCGAAGTTGTTCAGGATGCAGAGACGCTACGGAAAATCCAGGTGGAGCAGGGTGTGACAGGTTCCTTCAAGGACAAACCTCTAACAGAATGGCTGCAGAAACACAATCCAACTGAGCTGGAATTTACGAAAGTAAGATGGTAGTTTTACATTGTAATACACACACATGTAAATAACTGATGGTTGATTGATTGATTGATTAATTAATTGATTGATTGATTGAAATATGCAGCACTACTGTGCTATCAAAATTTCTAAATAATTATGGAATTGTCAGCACCTAGATATTAATTAAGCAATACACAGAACTTAGCTGTCAGAAAAGGCAGGTCAACATTTGCAAATTTCCTATATATAATAATAATAATACTGTCAATTCATATAGCTCATGTCACAACACAACAACAACACAACACATAGTGCTATATATAGTCCGAACTTACCCATCCAATCGTAATGTACAGATCTCGGGATATTTACATTTTTTACTGACATAGAGGAAATAGTGTGAGCTGACCAACATTGAATATATGGCATTGATTGACATTCTTTGTATTTCATTTTCCATAGGCTGTAGAAAATTTCACTTTTTCCTGTGCTGGCTACTGTGTGGCTACGTATGTCCTAGGGGTTGGTGATCGGCACAACGACAACATTATGGTTACTAAGACAGGTCACATGTTCCATATCGATTTTGGCAAGTTTCTTGGCAATGCACAGATGTTTGGAAACATCAAAAGGTTTGTCCAAGTACAGTTTTTGCTTATCAGTCTGACTTTCAGTTTTATTAGATGATGGCCTCTCCATATCTTTGCTAATTTTTTTTTGTAATGAAACTTAATTTTTCAGGGACCGCGTGCCTTTTGTGCTGTCATCCGACATGGCATATGTGATCAATGGGGGCGACAAACAAAGCAGTAAATTTCAGGACTTTGTAGATGTTTGTTGTGCTGCGTTCAATCTAGTCCGCAAACATGCCAATCTGTTCTTCAACCTCTTTGGATTGGTAAGTGACGGAGTAATTGATAAACTAATTACACCTGATGGGTATTAATTAATACAAAATATAATACTGAAGGTAATAACAATTATAAAAAGTAATTAAAAGGTTATTTTAAGTCTTTGTAATTACCATTAATTAAACTGATTGTACATCCCCATATTTTATAATATTTGTAATAGTTTGTTATTTTCATTTAACCAATAATAACACAGTTCTTATTGAAAATTACTATGATGGATTAAATAATCCAGTAATTGTTTTGTAAACAGGATTAATTAATGATTGAGTGATTGATTGGTTAATTGACTGATTGATTGGTTGTTTGATTGGTTTAGTGATTGGTTGTTTGATGTGCTTTCTCTTCCATATATTCTTTAGATGTTGAATTCTGGGATAGCTCAGTTGTGTAGGGTGCAGGATCTGGAGTATGTGCAGAATGCGCTAAAGCCAGAAGCCAGTGATGCAGAAGCTACTGGCATGTTTACAAGGTGAGCATGTCTGATATCAATCTACATTGTTATGTAAAATTGTCTTCATCATTGCTATCATCATTGTTGCTCTTGCTGCTGTTGTTTCTGCTGCTGTTGTTGCTATTGCTGTCATCATCAACAAAAATCACATGATTGTGGGGTGGGGGGGTCCCCTTTGCAATCATCTTTTGAGAATGTGAGTCAACTCTTTTCAACTCACGCTGTCAGCCGATAACCACCTTTATGTTTAAGAAAGTATTTCAGAGCATCCCAATGTGCTCTTTGTTTTTGGTTTTCGTTTATATGTGCATGTTTGCAAGTTTGACTGGCCATCCAGAATAAAACATAATTTTACTATCCACTTGTGGTATTTTTCAACTACTGTTAAATGGGGTCACACGTGTCAAAATAGCATTTTCATCATTATCCACATTATTATTTTTATCATTAACATCACTATCTTAGTATTTTTTTTTTTTTTATGTACAGTAGATATAAATTAGGCATAAAAGTGCAGCCAATAGCTATAATCATCAACATTATTCTAATTATTATCATCTACATCATTATCATCAGAATTTTATTTTGTACACAATGTGGACATCCATTTTTTACATCACTAAAGAAAAATAAAGAGAATCATTAAAATCATCATTATTATTATCATAATCATTATCATGATGATATTGTAAAATAGTGTTTTTAATTAACACATTTATTGTTTGTTTATTTGTGAATTTCATAAATTTCCAATTTTCAGATATGTAAGTTTAATTTGTATGTGTCATGCTTTTTCTCATATTGTTTTTGACAATTTTTTGTTACCCTTCAATTTTGTTTACGAAATTGCCAATAAAGAACATTTGAATTTGGATCACTTTCAGACTGATAGAGGCGAGTCTAGGATCAAAATCAACGCAGCTCAATTTCTTCGTACATAATCTTGCACAGCTTCGGTTCTCAGGTGTTAACCCTGATGAGTTGTCATTCGCGCCTAAGAAGTACACCTTAGCAACCGATGGTCGTATCATCAGCGCATCTGTCTTTGGTATTCAGAAACGATATGACTCTGAGAAGTACTACGTAAGTTTTATTTATTTTTTTCTGTAAATTAAATCGAAAAAGAAATATAAACTGCAAATTTTAAATGCTTTCCTGAGTTAAACTGCCCTTGTTGATAATGGTTATTTTTAGCTGAAAGATCCCAAGCAGAACCTCATCATATCGCGCTGTGAGTAAAAAATCTGGCAGGCTTCATACCTTAAATTGATAGAAAATGATGCATTGGCTTACTTGGGCTTTTGTATCTTTTGCACTCTGTTAGTTTGGGTTCTCATTTTTTTTCACATTTCTGCTTCCTGCCTCAAGGTTTTTTTTTTAATGTGATCTGCTATATTAATTTTATTGATTAGACATTTTATTGTAACTTTGTTGTGGTGTGACTATATCAGATAAAATTGCCTAATAAGACATAAATAGATATAAAGTCATTTTATCATTTTATTTTGCAGGTGTACATAATACGAGTGCAACGAGAAGGATCAACCATTCCAACTTTCATCTTCAGACGTTTCAGTGAATTCCATGAGTTAGAGGAGAAACTTGCGATGCTAAGCCTGGAGGTCAAGTTACCTCCTTTGTCATCGCGTGTTTTGTTTGGACGAACACACGTGAAGCAGGTGGCAGAGAGGAGGAAGAATGAAATAGAACTGTTCCTGACACACTTATTTTCAGCCCCACCTGTAATATCAGAGGTAAAAACAATTGCAATATTAATCATATTTCAGTAATTTTATTACTATTATTATTATTATGTTAAAAGCTTTTAGTAAATACACGTAGTTCTGAAAAGAACAGTTGTTGTTAAGAATGTCTCAACATTTTGATTGAGTTGCTTCAATCATCATCAAGTGAATAATATCTAATATCATTATTAGTAAGTACAGTGGTAATAGTAATAGTGATATTTATGAAAATTATAATGATAATATAATTATTATTTCTCTAAATCAGACTTAAGGGCAATATCTTTTGTGTTGTTTTCCCCTTAACGTCATGTTATTTTCCTCTTAACATCGTTTTTTTAATTGTTCCCTAATTTCTCCATTTTCTAAGTAATAATAATGATAATAATAATAATAATACTGTAATAATAATAATAATAATACTGTTATAATCATATAATAATAATAGTATTAATAATATTATTAATAATAATAATACTGTAGTACTGTATATCAATATTGTTAACAGTGATAATGACTCTAATAATAATATAATAATATTATATCGTGATGATGAAGACCATGATGATGATAACAATTACAAAGGGTGGTAGCAGTGGTGATGGTGGAGACAATAGTATAAATAATAACACTGATTTAAATATTGATAATAGTTGTCAGAAGGATAATATAATTAATGATATTATTAATAATAGTAATATTAAAATACTGTAATAATATCAATAATGATAGTAGTTATAATAATAAAATGAAATTGAAAATATTTACGAATATTAGTAAATGTTGCAAAGCATTGGTTGTTGGTGGTATAAGTTAAATTATCCATTTTTTTTCACAGTCGGATTTGGTGTACACATTTTTCCATCCCTTAATTAGAGATGAGAAAGATGCAAACAAAACTTCAACATCAAAGCTGAAAGGTAAATTAATATGTTATAAATTTATAATTCCCTGTTTGCACTATCAGTTTTTATGTGATGATACCAGTTGTATGCCCATATTATGTGGTTGTTATATGACAGGCAAACCACTGATAATTGTTACAGAGCGTTGCATATTTAACAACAATCAACAAATGAAATGTATACATATTAAATTTTCTGATAATAAATTACATATTTTTATCAGGTGATGCGGAAAATGATAGAAAATTTGTGCCTGGCCAGGTTGGAGGTCAAGTCAAGCTGTCCGTCCACTATAAGAACAACGCCCTCTTTGTTATGATCATGCATGCTAAAGATCTTGTAAGTACCAAAATGGTTTACATTTGAAAGGGTAGAGAGGTGTTCATTGGGAATGCTTGGAGTTTTCTATAGCCAATTTTATGAGGCTTGGGGTAGTGATGAGTACAGTTATTTGGTGAATGTAATGTAATGTGGTTTGATTTACAGTATAGTGTATACAGTATAGCGCTTTATACCGAAGTCCCAAAGTGCTCAAGGTGTGGACTAGGTGTACTAAAACCAAATCCCTTTACAAGGCTTGGGATTGGAAATCTGATTATTTGATATCCTGAATGTTCAGTAGCCAATTCTCTTTATGAGAATGGGGAGTAGGGCTGCTTCCCAGGCTGCTTTATAACCAAGTTACTTTGAGGGGCATGGAGAGTAGACCGCTGTCATTTGGAACACATGATGCTTTGTTGCGTTTGGTGAATGAACTTGTTTTTGTCTATGAGCAAGTCCTGAACTTTCTTCATGATTTAAAAAATACCTTAATTATAATTTTTCTCAACTTTTTTCAGCTGTCACCTGATGGTACTGAACCCGACCCTTACGTGAAAACATACCTCCTGCCAGATGACCAGAAGCTCACAAAACGAAAGACTAAAATTGTAAAGAAATCGTTCAACCCTACATTCAACGAAATGGTAAGATGATATGCACTTTTCAGTATTTAGATTAAGGATATTGTTAAAATAATAAGGATACTGTATTACATAGCTTGATTAGGCTGTGGTATGCTGGTCAGTAGAAACTTATTAAAGTAATATTTCTACACCATAATACATTGTTTGTTTAGATATACATGTTATATATATATATTTTTTTTCCCTTTGTATTTTCTATTTTACAGTACTGTTTTAGCAGATAACAAGTGATTGAATTGATTTTAGCTCTTCTAATTGAGTTTGGATCATCTTAGAAATATTGTTAAAATTTGAAAATGTCAGATCATTTCATCTCTTTCTGATAATGGACTTAAGATTCAAAATATCCAGGTGCAAAAATGTGCAATGTACAATAATTGTGTGTTATTGCCTAATTTAAACTACATATGATAGTTGACTACTATTATATTCATACTCATCCCCAATTGAAAATATATGATGTGGTCTCATTGTGCCCACACATGGGCAAATTACAGGTATCTATCACAGAAAAGTTGATAGTGTAGACAGCTTTACATATTGATTATTAATGCCAATACAATTGATTCTTCAGATAATTTTGATAATTCCTCTTTTCAGCTGGTATTGAACATGCCATGGAACGATGTGTTACAAAGGACCCTACAATTGACAGTTTGGAACAGCGACTACCTCAAAGAAAACACGTTCATGGGAGGTGTCAACATTCCGCTTGAATCACTGGACTTGTCACAGGAGATTGTCAAATGGTATAGTCTTAGTAACGTGTAAAGAAGATGAGGAAACCTTGCCTGGCTTTGACTTCCCAATGGTAGCTTAGAAGATGAAGGATATGAGCTTGCCTGTCTGCTCAAATAGAGTAGAGATAGACATAAATTAAGAAGCTGTTCCCTCTTATTAATGTAAGAAGGCACTGCATTTAGAAACTGAAAAAAAATAACCAGTGACATGATGAAGAATACATATGCGAACACTGTCTTGTGAAAAAATAAATAATTGTCTTCATATAAACTCTAGAGGGCAGTATGCTAGACACTAGCTATCCAGTATTTACAGCCAGACTCTGAAGGTGCCAAATGTTTATCATGGCAATGAGTAAAATGCGAATTGAAAGAATGTTTTTAAAAGGAGGGAAGGTAAGGTAAGGGGTAAAAAAAAAATTCTAAAGTTGAATCACAGTTTGATATTTTTGTTGAAGTTCATTTGTTGAGGACAATTATCACAATCTTGGACCATATTATTTAAAGAATTATATAGTTATACGTGAACAAAATAATAATAATTTAAATATGATGAGGAAAATGTATAAACATAGAATGTCTACCTTGAACCATATTTTAACTAATGGATTTAATTTAATGGACCGTTCCGCTAAGCCCCGCCCCTTGGATATTGTTGCTAAGGTCCCACAAATTGTGATGCATTCATTCCTGGCCCTGTTCTGATTGGTCCTTTGCTTACTTTGATTGACATTTGAGAAAGTTCCATTTAATGAATACATTTAATTCAATCCACATTTCTTCCAATGTGTTACTCTGTGTTAATTTTAAACAACCAAACTGAATTTAATTTTTAAGCTTTATCGGTTATTCCAATAAATTTTCACAGTTATTTTAATTGCAATTAATTTCCCGTAAAGATTTTTATTATTGTAGATATATTATATTTTTATATTTCACTTTTATGCCATTTCATTTCTAGTTTGCAATATCTATTATTTTACTCATTTATTGGCTTGTAGATTCGTTTTGATGCGTCAATAATTTACGTAAACACTTTTATTAGCACTCAACTTTTCATTACAAGCATAGGAATAGTAATGTAATTTGTGTATGAAAGAAATATGTTGATTGTAAATCAAATTTGCTGTGTTATTTTGCATATTATAATTATAGAAATCAAATTTTGTAATGTTTTAATAGGACCTTATAGGATCATATTCTTGTGTAAAGGGAAATAAATTTATGTTATGTTATTTATGTCCAAATTATCAAAATTTATGTGACAAATTTGCATGATGTGCCCATATATGGACATAATGATGTCAATTTGCATGATGTGCCCATATATGGACATAATGATGTCAATTTGCATGATGTGCCCATATATGGACATAATGATGTCAATTTGCATGATGTGTCCATATATGGACATAATGATGTCATATTACATTTGTCACATAAAATATGATAGTGTGGATGGACCTTTAGAATTACATGTGGCCTTAGCATTGTCCAGTTTACACTCATATGAGTACATTTCTGGGGAATATTCAACTATATTCATTGCAGTAAAAATTAATTAATTCAATAATTTATATTATTTCATCAACTTCTATTTCAAAGAAAGAATTAAAGTGGTTTTTGATTAAACTATCTAAATATTCAAGAAGTCTTTTATTTTCTTTTATTAGTTTGAAAGTGTCCATTTATGTCACGATAACATTGTTCTAAAACATACAAAAACATTTTAATTGTGCTGTATTGGTTTTTCCAATGAAGATTTTGATGGCGGCGATGATGATAATGAAAATGAATTGAAATATTTCTACGACGCTTTCATGTTAAAATACTAATTTTTGTTACTGGTGCTTCATGGCCTTATATGATATGATTTCAAACAGAAGGTATGCCTAAATCATCAGTAACTGAGTTAGCAACAGTCCATATCCAATCTTTCTATGCCTCTTTAAAATGTACAAATCCTGATCCAATTAGCTGTGATGGAACTTGTTACAACATTTATGTAGTACTATGCCTGATTAACGTGTTGAAGCATGGTTAATGGTAGATTTGTACGTTTTTAAGTCTTACTCATAAAGAGAGAGTTGACACATATTCAATATCTGTTGTATAGACCTACAAATTTTAACAAGGAAGTCATATTTGCATGGTAGGCCTATTAAATATTTATTTCGATGCCGCGAAGGGTTCAACTTTAATACACTTGCTTCTTGCCTGTATGTAACTAGAATGCTTGTTCATTTCAGAAGTCGTACATAGCCATCGGAAGCATTTTGCAAGTGGTCTGGCCATTGTGAGAGCGGGATGGAGGAGAGTCCATATCCACCTCAGCCCCACCATGGTTGGGCTGAGGTGCGAAAATTTGAGGAAATAGTACCTCTCATGGCCGGAAATGTCACATTTATATAGTTGCATTCGTCATCATCACATCACCATTATAGTAAAACAAATTTCTCATGTTCTTTTATCATCAATTTTCCGCCACCATAGAGATCTAATTAATATGCATATGATTCATAGAAAATAAAACTTTAAAATATTGTCTTTTTTATTTATTTACTTTACTTCACTTACTTCAAAGCCGTGAGTCCACACCCACCTCAGCCCCATCATGGTTGGGCAATAATACAGTACCTCAAGAAATGACACTGTTATATAGTAAGATTCATCATCATCACATCACATGATCTTTTATCTGCAATTATCGGCAATAATAGAGATCTAATTAACTTCTGTATTGTACCATAGAAAATAAAACTTAATTGTCTTTGATGTATTTACTTTCATGTACCTACTCCGGTGCCGAAAACCAATCTTATACTTTTTCTCCTACTTCTCAAATAATAAAGGCACGCGCACTCGAGTCGTCTGTTACAGCCTAATTCAGATGTTAGTGGGCAGAGATACTGGAATCTTGCTATAAGATAAGATGTACGGTACTGTACTTTGGCTGTAGCGCTCTTTCGTTAAAAACTTGGGTCATTAATTATGCAGTTCAATTTAACAACTTTCAGGCATCTTCTTTACTTATGAAATTACATTGCGGTTGAAAAGTGAGTGTTACCAAAAACCCCCTTAAAAATAATTATGTAGGGGACGTGTCCGTCTCCCCATGATCTGCGCCCATGCTGGTAACCAGTAGAACCACTACCCGGTCCCCTCAAGGGGCAGACTTGTATAACACCATGGTTGGAAAAAATGGCTCCTCTGCCGGGAAATAGCACATACGTACTTTACAAAAATACATGTCCCTCACTTTAAAAGGGTGATAAATTTCGATTGCAAGTAATTAGGTCCGGCTTGACCATTAATAACTTTGTGTCACATAACAGCCTATATACTGATTCCACCACAGTCGTTTTTTTAAAAGTCAATTCTTATCCTACAATCATCAACCTAATAATAATTATCGACATTATCATCACTGTCATCATCATCATCATAGCCACCACCACCACCACCACCATCATATCAACATCATCAGTATCATCATAACCACCCACACCATTATTATTATTATTATTATTATTATTATTATTATTATTATTATTATTATTATTATTATTATTATTATTATTATTATTATTATTATTATTATTATTATTATTATTATTATTATTATTATTGTTATCACCCTCATCATCCTCATTGCCATAAAGGAATAGCGCATTAGAGAATAATTAATTGTTTTTTTATACTACTCCATGTGGCGTTCTACATATAAACATCTCAATAGACTACGAAGATGACTTTGCAATTAATAACAATGCGAGTACAGTATTGAACATTTTGCATCGTTAATTCATTAGTTAAGTGGGAATTCTGCCATCATTTTATGGTTATTGTTTTTCCTAAGTTTGTTAGGCAGCCGCATTGAAGGCCATAGTTACCAACCTGAGAGATTTGAAATGTGTGTGTGACTATACCAATTTACTGGGGGTCCAAGTGGCAGGGGAACCACCTCCCCCTCCCCCCGCTACGACAATCTGAGCATTTTTAAGCTGTTTTAAAACGGTTTCAGGGAATGTTTGTTGATAATACAGGTACAAAAGCAAACATATTATTAATAAAGCCAATTCTTTATTTTTAATGTAGGCCTATGTTTAATTTGAGCACCCGAACTATGTAGACCTACACAAACATTTCATTACTGACCAATTTTAGTAACTCGTTAGTGAAATAAGTAGGGCCTTCAAGGAAATACTGTACTCTCTTATAACTCAAGTTACTGCATCACCGTTTTTATAGTTTTAATACAACCAATTTCTTCAAAAATATATTTTCCCCTGAATTTGGGATCGTTATCACGCATAGACTAGTGTTAAATGCGTGACAAATTCAGGATCACACATGTGTTTCTGCAAAATGCGTGTTTCATCCAAAATAATTTTTGAAATGCGGGACCTTCGAACGATGCGAGACGGTTGGTAACTATGCAGTTGGCTGGGTCAGAGATTACAGTATCAATTTTTTTTTCAAATAAACGACCACTTTTTGACCTATAGTCATTTTCCTGATGATTTTTAACTTAGGGTACCCAGGGATTATGTTTATTTGCATTTTTATAACTGCCAAAGATCCCTATGTTTGATGCGTGCATACGACATTGCTATTGGCCATAGGATGACTGAGAAGAATGGAAATTTGTGAAAACAATGTCAGGAACCAAAAATATGTTTAAAAAAACCTAATTTCTAGCTTCCGTACGTGCTGCACACATAAAAATGCGCGCGCGTAGTGGAAATTAAACAAAAAATTTAAATGCTCAAAATGGCCTGAAACGTGCTCTAATTTAGTCAAAATGTGATTTCGAGAATTTTAAAAATGTTGACGCACGCGTTATGACGCGCACGTAAAATATTTTGGTACGTGACATTCAACCTTGGCCAGTTTATGCCATCTGAATATGATTCAGTAATGACAATTGGTTAGGATGATATGATCAATATTGTAAAAACGCAAAATTGCGCGTAGATGACGTCACGCATGACTGAGCACGTTGAAAACCTTCTCCGTTTTAGTTTTTAGTTTCAGCATGTTCAAAATCCAGAGAGCGACCGTGTTTACGTTCTGGAGACCACTACGAGTAAATACCATGTTTGTAAGTGTGTTTCTGTTCTTTAGTATTCAAGTTTTCGCCCTTCGTACGCTGGTCACTTAAATGCACGATAGAGTTACTTGCTCGGCCCCAGCCAACTGAACGGAGGGAGGAAGCAGTGCGACCCCTAAGCCACGATGATGCACTGAACCTAGCATACCATCCCGAGTGCCTGTCAGTTGACCAAGACTCCCTGTGCATCTCCCCTGCAGTCTGTTAATCGCCTAGTCCTGCCAAGTATCACCGCCAAGCGTCATCATAACACAGATCCTATATATATATGGTCTGATCATACGATGCGCAGGGCTAAGTACTCAACCTCGCCAAGGCTCGGGCCTTCGCCAAGACCCGGGCCCAGACTCAGCGTAGGGTTACCGGCGTATAACCGACAAGAAGCCTCGTCGACCCCGGAACCCGTCAGGGAGAGAGTCAGGTGATTTTATTATGCATGTGGTTAGAATATATTTGGTTCAATTGTACGTATGGTACTGGTGTTATTACTTGCAAAAGCAATCAACGAGGATACATTGCCCTATTTATTGTATTATTGTACAGCGAAATTGCTTTTTTTTTTTTGCCTTATTTTTAAAAATAATTTCTAGTGATTTTAATGAACATTTAGTATTAACTTAAAGTACTTTATATTTCATATAAAATCTTGTTAAAATATATTATAAAATATGCAAATGATGAATATGAACCAATTGGAAATGTCTAGAGGCGTTTCTATCTAAACTTCAAACCAAATGAAAAGCGAGACTTTGAATAATAAAAAATAGAAATCACTTTTTTTAAAGCAGCTGTAGGTGCCAGAACCACCAGAACGCAAAACTTTTACGGGGTTTTTTTGCAGAAAAATTGCCAAATTTTCACTTTTAAAAGTTTAAATTTTAGAATCGACAGATTACTGTATGTTTTGTTCATAGTTACCAACCCAGGGGATCTGAGCATTTTAAGCTGTTTTAAATCGATTTCAAGGAGCGTTTGTTGACAATACCGTGTACAAAACTATTTTTAATAAAGACACATACAATTTGAGTTTCAATGAAGGGCCTACATTATGTTTAATTTGAGCACCCGAACTATGTACACAAATATTTCATTACTCAAACAAACAAAAAATGAATAGGCATGCTGTTTAATGTTTAGTAGCGCGTGTGAATTAAGTATTCACGTAAATACTGTCTAATGACTCAAGTTTAAACTGCATGACCGTTTTTATATTTTTAATAAAACTAATTTCTTCTAATTTTAAATAGATTTTCCCCTGAATTTGTGACATGCATAGACCTGTGCTGAATGCGTGACAAATTTATGATCACGCATGTGTTTCTGCAAAATGCGTGTTTCAGCCAAAATCACTTTAAAATGCGGGACCGTCCCGCACGATGTGAGACGGTTGGTAACTATGGAAGGCATTGACAATTTCCTCGACAGAAGCATGCACTAACTTGGCTGCATTCTATTCAAAAACATACGTTCCAAGTGACTCGCTAAAACCACCAAAGACCTAAAACTGGCTAAAGAAATGTTATCTTGTTAACTTCCGTCCGTTGTTTAACATTGTAGATTCGTAGGCCTATCTGTTTTTTTTATTTTTTATTTACATTATATGCAATTTATTACCAAGGGTCTATGGGGAAGCAGGGGCTTAAGTCTCCCCCACTGGACAGACCTCGTCGGGCAGTCAGAGTAAAAAAGAGGCCCACACCAAGCCAACACATGTCTGTTACAGTCTGAGAGTGCCATTTCCGGCCATCCAGAGGTTGATATCCTTTAAAAAAATCTCATTTGGGAAGGGGAACCCACTCTCAACCCCTTCCTCCAGCTCGAGCCTACGAGCTCAAGTCCCCCTGTCGGACAACTTAGCCCTCCCAGAAAATATATCCTAGAGCCGCCACTGAGTGAGCAAGGAATTGTTCAGTGTGTTGAAAAACCTTTCTGACACAGAGCCATATGATATAAACCACGGTCTTGATGGTATCCTGGTGGCATCGTATCTAATCGTCTCAGCACCGCAGTGACGTCTTGGCTTGTCGTAGATGTTGTTGGTAGTACGAATAAACAAGACACAGTCACGACAAACGACGACAAGCCACTCACACGATGCTGCTGCGGTAGACCAAGATCTTTTTCACGGCTACGATTGAGCAGGATTTTTTTTAACATTCCATGATGTCGATATCAAATAAAGCTCCTACTGAGTGACGGATCCAGAAATTCGAAATGGAGGAGATCTTGGGGGGGGGGGGGTGGGGGGCTTTCACATATGGTTTTATGATTATGTCACCTCCAATGGTCCATGCTCTAGATGGCCGGAAACGACTTAAATATGAATACAAATTTCATTTTTCCCTCCATTTTTGAATTAATTTTTGAATAATTTAGGCGGGGGCCAGTTGCACACTTCCCCTTTCCAAATATACAGAGCAGTTGAGCATTTTATAAAGGCCTATAATAATAATAATAATAATAATAATAATAATAATAATAATAATAATAATAATAATAATAATAATAATAATAATAATAATAATAATAATAATAGGCCTAATGATAGTAATAATAGGCCTAATAATAATGGGTCTAATAATAATAATAATAATAATAATAATAATAATAATAATAATAAATATGAATAAGATTGATAATAATAATAATGAAATAAAGCGCCGGTATCCGTTTAACAGGAAACGCTCATAACGCCCCTCTAAAAGAAAGTTGAAATGTGAAATACTTTCAGCTCATGACAGACAAGTGTACATTTAAATTGGACGTCATTGGAAATGGGCTGGACTCCGGATTAATGGGCGTTCCCGATGCTCGGTAATTTTTACTTTTCTTTATCTCAATCCATTTGTTATCTTGTTTGTGTATGTTAAGCATCGAATAAATTCAATCAATCATTAAAAAAATATGATATTATGAAAAATGTTTGTTTGTATGAAGATATAGTTATAGTATTATGTTTATTGTTTGAATATACTGTATTTATGAATCTAGATATTAATTTCTATAAAATAGTACACTTATAAATTTTATTTGCCCATCACAATCGGAATGATAACATAATTTGTTTACGCTATTGCGATCTACTAGTCCTACCCAATACAATGTATTTAGAAATCCTCACATCATTCCGTAATATGATGATACTATAGAAAATTAATATTTAATATGATAATGCTGATATGATAAGAATTGTGAAGTATTATTATGTTGTGTCAGCAGCATTGTCCATTGCGATAACTGAATACAACAATGTTAAGGTCGGGGTGCTCACTAATTTTTCAGTGACGGATTTAAGGGGGTGGGGCCGAAGCCGGCCTGCACAACACCCCCCACCCCCTAAATCTTTTAAACTGCCACAGTTTTTATTTATATATTGTGCTGTGATGATACTCCATTATAATTTTTTTTCTCTGTTTCTTAATAATTTCTATCAGAAAAGAATGTCCGGAATGAAAGGGCAACAGAACTTTCCAATTATTCATAGATAGTAATATTGTATTATTGCTGCTAATGTTTATCTTATTAATATAGTAACCTGTTCCTTGTGAAGAATGTATAGACATTTAAGATAATAAGATATAACATTTTGAGGATTAAAATGGTCTATAGATTTTTACCAGATGTACATGACCTGAACCTACAGTATATAAATATAACATGTATACATATATCCCAACTTGATTTCAATGCTTGAAAATAAATATCAAATGGAATTGTGCATCTCTTCTCATCTTATTAAATGTCTGTGTTTACTGTAATAAATTCAATAGCTAAAATATCCTTATTATAAGCTTACAACAAAAGTGAAGAATTACTTCATCATGCTTCATCAATATGTGCTACTTTAATTATTAAACTAGCAAATCTTTTGAGGACACCCTCATCAAAAATATAAAACCGGAAATAATGTTGTTTTCATATAAAAAGAACTACTGTATGTAAGCTGATATCATCTAAAAAATTATATAAACTTATATCTTGATCTGTTTTTTTTTTTTAATTTTGGTTCTGTAAACATAACACGAGCTGTCTGACCAAGCATTTGCGTAATACGTGTCGAATATTACAATTTGGAAATTATTTTGTAGTTAAGTTCAGTAAGTGAGTTATATAATATATTTGTTCAGAAAATCTTAATGGCTTGACTTTTTTGGTGGCATATTTCACCTGCGGAGTGCTTTTGGAACACGGGAGCCATAGAACAATACTCTGAATGTTGACCATCAGGAGGTTCAATAGAAGCATTATGCCTATTATCCCTGATTGGAGCATCAACAACAGATACACAGCGAGAGGTTAGCACTAGTCTCATAAAATCTAAACATTTTACCAATTTAACATTTGATCAGTATAAAGATTATTATATGATCTATTTGAATTTGGAAAATGTAAACTAATAAAAGTTAATTGTATATAAAAATATATTATTTATTATGATAATAATAATAATAATTATTGATTTTATTAGAATTAGTTATAAAAATGCAAATAAACATGATCCCTGGGTACCGTAAGTTAAAAATTAGCAGGAAAATGACTATAGTTGAAAAATTTGTCGTTTATTTAAAAAAAAAAATTACTTTGAAACTGTAATGGGTTCCTTTAAAACTAGAGCTTCTAATTAAGTTTAGATAGACGCGCCTTCTAGAAATATAAAACTGTTGCATAATCATAAGTTGTATGTTTTTAAGTAATATTTAAAAACATGCTTTCAATACCTTATATTTTAAGATTGAATATAAATGACTATGATAAAGTCAACTTTTAATTAAATTAAAAAAAAAAAAAAAAAAAAAAAACAATTTCGCTGTACAATATGCAATAAATCGGCTCCACAGGTAATATCAACACCAGTACCATACATACAATTGAGCCAAATATATTTCAATTACATGATTGAAAATTAAGAAATTTATAAAAATTGTGGTGTTTTTTACCCTAAAAATAGGATTTAGATAATAAACAGGGTTTAGATAATAAATATTTTCCTGATAAATTTTGGAGAAATATTCTGAGTGATATGAGACCAAATAACATATTCATTATCTGTTGTCGGACCTACAAATTTTAACAAGGAAGTCATATTTGCACAGTAGGCCTATTAAATATTTATTTTGATGCCACGAAGGGTTCAATTTATGCGAACTTACACTTCCTTCTTGCTTGTAACTAGAATGCTTGTTCATTTTTGGTAGTCATAGTAACTAATCTGTTGCGGCCATGGTAACATGTACAAAGAGCCGTTGGATCCTGATTAGGATAAAACCGAAAAACGCGACCGGACATGTGCTCACCGCTTCCGGAGACGTCGACCACATTACGATCTCGCTTTGGGGAGGCTACGCGAGCGTCGACCTGAACCTGTCTCTTATACACATCTTCGGGGAGGGTGGGAGGTGTTTGTTCTGTCTGTTTATTTATAATGTCTAATTATTTGATGTCCTTTCCTTATCTATCTTTAGATTAAGATTTTATGATTGTTTCTCCATGTCAACCTCAATAATTCTTGATACGATCCTCAGTTTAATTCTTGTCAACAACAACACATCCTTATAAGGATATGTCATCGGCAGTGGTTTCACCCAGCCCAAAAATGTACCTGTGCTGAATGGAATGGTCCAAAGATTTACCTTCCTCTTGAGAATTTTAGTAGCAGACGACCTCTCTTCTCCGACCGCTTTATATATTTTACAATCGTGTACCTGTTCTTTCTTTCTGTCAAGTTTCGTTTCTGATAGCAGGTAGGCCTAAGTGTTTTGAGTTTATTTGCATGTTCTTATTCTGTAATATTTTGGCCTGATATTTACCTGGTGGCCTTCCTTGTCGAATGAATATGTCTCATAAAAAATAGTATGTAGAGGGTGGAGGCTGTCACGATTAGTAAACAAATGTGTACCGTTTTTACACTATGTACAGTACCTGGACACCTCCTTAAATGGGTGACTTTTTAGAAAGTAATGTGTGTAAAATTTAAAGAGTGGACGCACTAATGGTCACTCTTGTGATAAACTGAATGGACTGATAAACGTGTTCAGTATCCTAAAGCAAGGTTTGAAAACATGAACCTTCCCGTCATTTGAAAAATAATGTATAAATTCTTATTTTTTTAAAATTTTTTTAATTAGGATTGTGTTTGACACTTGCAGTAGGCCTATCTGTCGATTAATTGCATAATTATATAAGATACAAAAGTATATTGATAATTATTTTGGCGTTGTATATGTCTGTGTATACAGGGGCGGATCCAGAGATGTCCGAAAACTGAAAAGTGCGGGGGGGGGGGGCGAAAATGGGGCCAATCGAGATAACACTACCCTAGGGGGTCCATGCCCCCGCGAAATTGTTTTTCTAGACGCCCGAAAATAACATCGTTTGAGCAATTCGATCGATCAATTTTTTCTTTTTCTTTCTTTTTTTCTTTAGTTTTTTTTTAACTTTCCAAAAGGTGAGCCTGGTATATACAGTAATCTATTTAAAAATCTGCCTCTTGCCATCGGTAATCACACCTGATTTTCGTAGTCCCCGACCTATTTTTGCCACTTTTTCTAATGTTGTGAAATGTAATGCCTGGTTTGAAGTTATTTAATGCTGGAAAGTTAAAATGTCGTTAGTTGATCCGGAGGGTATTATTAGGTGTGATACATAAAGCACTAAATAGATCAAGAAGTCACTACAATATTGTAGTAAATCAGTGGTTAATCATCAATCAATCAACCAACTTTAAGAGCGCAAAGTATGATAGAGGTCTAGAAATACAAACAGCATGTATTATATCCTGGAAGTATCGCCAAGTTAATCAGTACAATAGTTATGTTTAATTTAACAGCTTAGATACAATAATTATTCTTTTACATGTTGATTCACGAATATTTACCTATATTTGGACAAAGATTCAAACGTATAAACTATAATTCTATACCAATATAAATGTTTCTTAAGTTAATAAACACAACATAGGCCTATCCAATTCCACATAAATACTTCTATTTTATTTCCAAGTTAATTGTCAAACTTTCAATGTGATACATTCTTAGATATCTTATTGGAGGTTAAGGAGACATTTATTACTAGTTGTAAGTACTATCATGGGTGCAGCCTTTATATTTTCTTATTGTTTACGTTAATTCAGATTTCTAACCGAAGGACAATCTAAAACTGAAAGAGTTTCCAAAATTTACTTGTATATTTTGAGATTCCAGCTTTCCGTTTGTGATTAAAATGTTTAGAAACAGTAGTAACTCTTTGCATTTTGGTTTCATAATCAGGCCTGCTGTACATAGGCCTATTACTAAGGTGCTGTGTTTCATCACAATATAGTGTTAGTATGCCTTTAAATCAAGCGAAGCTGGTTTTAGGACACACTGGCGGGGGTGAAAGGAGAATGCCCCCTTGAAGCAGATTTGAGGTTGTATTTGATAGATTACTATTTATGGTAATTTTCAATAACCTTTAAAAAAAAAATTACAAGAAATAGGAAGAAGGGGCGTAAAGCCTCTCACGTCCCGCTCTAAATCCACTAATGAATGTTATAGTTTAATACGGGTCATAGATGGATTGATTAGTTTTGCCTTTAGGCTTAACATCTTTTAAATTGATTCTAACCCACGAATATGAATTAACTGTTGCTGATTAACAACGTACATCAAAATATCTTTTCTTAACATTTAAATAACATTTTTAAGCTATCGGTACTACTTCTAGGCGTCACTCCATAAATCATCATATTGTGAAAATATTTTGCCAAATCAAGTCTGGAATTTTACTTGATGACATGTTTGCTCAAGGTTGCTTTTGGTTTCTTCGTGATGATGTTTACCAGAGTCTTGTTGAGATTTTGGAAACTGATTGGAAACCATGTTCTATTCCTAAACATACTACTGTGTCTGTAGTATAGTTTCTCGGGGCTTATCCGTATTCGAAAAATAGGGTCTGTGGCATGTTTTTTGTAGCGGCCTATATCTCGAATTAAGTTCCTTGTGCACCTTTGATTCATCAACACCATAAATCGTAAATGCATTCATCGTTTGCGTGTTTGATTGCACTTTGAAATTCATGATTCGTGAAAATCCGTTTGTAATCAAGTAATTTGAGTCGATTCTTGGAAGGTCATTTTCTGGTCCTCGATTTGGTTCATTTCTTATTCATGTAATAAACACTGCCTACAATGCGTATGTGACGCCTCAACAAGCGTTACCACTAATGATTTCCTTAGCATGGTATTAATAAGACTGATTTGGAGACAAGCCATGGTGAGAATGACGGCGTGTCATACCTATCCCTGATTTATACATTAAGGCCATCAATGCACAGCTCCATAGTTGAACTGTTCGTGAATTGCTTACTTTGCGAAGGGGGAAGGGGGAGGCGTTTATCTCTTTACCTCCTTCGACGTGGACTGTAAGCGCCTCTGTATAGCATCACTATAGCTTACCACGCCCGTTTGCAGAATAACGCTACAATTTACTACTTTCCACTTCTCATTTCCTTTTCTATAGTATAGTACGGTAGTAAATTTTGTAGTGAGTGAAACATCTCGAAATCACCGAATTATTTATTGTTTTGATACGTGTGTTATCCTACACTTTTTTTTTATAACACCCAGTAAAATGTTGCCCACTAGGCTCTGAGTTCTTATTTGCTTTTGCCGATTTCAGGCTCAAAGTGTTCTTATTTGTTCTTATTTTACACACTTTTCAAACATAGATAATTATTATTGTACAGCAGATATTACTGTACTGTATTCGGGTATTACGTAGTCACACCTACTGTACATAAGGTACGGATACGATTTGTTGTTTTTTCTATTAAAAAAAAAAAAAACCTCATTTTAAATTTTAACCCAGCCTCAATTTGCACTTATTTCGTTGTTAATTTTAAGACAATTCCAGCCTAAGTGTTCTTATGTATTATTATTTTTAAAAAGTGTTGGGATCACACTTCTATTAGGCTATATGAGCAAGTAAAGTATTTTTCAATCAATTCTTTGTGCTTTTCAGATTTTATACTACTGACGTGTGATAACATATATTATAGAGTGATCGCATATCCTAAATATTGTGTAGGGCCTACATTGGATACTATTAAATGCGAAATAAAGGGAATAGACATATTGCTATAAATAATTTATTTGTATGAATTTTGTGAGTTTCTGCGTATCATCACGGAGGTGTAATGTAATTTGTTAGGCCCTACAGATCTTCCATATAACAATACGAAAACAAAAATTTAAAAATTGATAATTCATTCCATGATTATTAGGCCCTAAATAGATAACTTGGAAACGATTAACGATGATGTATTGTGCGTTTTTGCTAGTATTTCTGATAGGTTTTTAGGTTGACATGTTAGTAATTCGACCTTCAAAATCCAAAGCAAAATAGCTGTCAAGTGTAAATTTACTGCTTGACACTTTAATGAATGACATGTATGTAGGCCTAGGCTATGCATACCGTTACATTGCGGGTCCCCTATATCATGCCTATATAACATTTAACTTCTCTTTTAAAAAGATCAACAAAGTTATGAACGTCTTCTAATTAAACACAAATTGAAACAATTTATGTTTAATATGAAAGTCCTTCATTTGATGACGGTACCAGACAATTCATGGGTCTAGTCACAGCTGATGCTTTGCCGAATGGCTTCTGCAGATGTTCTTACGCTAGTATTAATTCTAATAATTCCCATGACATTATTAGCAATTTTGACATTTCCTGCCTATTTTAAGAAATTTTCTGGAATTAACAAGAGTTTACCACGTAAACACTCTTCGTCGTACGCGCAGGCTATTCGTTGTGGCGTGTGTGTATACGAATACGTGCCAACAGTGTGTGCGGGCGTATAATAATGTGCATCGGGGTGATACAAGACCTTGTGTTAGTAAATGAATATCTATTGTAACTTATAGTGGAAACCTAATTTTAAATGAATATTATTTTATGGTGAGAATATTCGATACAGTGGTTTTGCCTCACGTATAATGCTATAATTTATGGCCAGATAACACGAGAACATGGAAGCTAGTTATTCGTGCAAAACGTCTTTTCTTACATCGGTGGCCTCATTAAAATACACTTGAAGCTTCAAGTAGCTTACCACTTAATGGCGTCATCAGCTGTATGTAAAGTATTATCCAAACCGAATTTACTAGTTTGTCTCTGTATCTGTGCCATCTGATCGCGTCATTCATGCATTTATTTATTTAAAATTCGTCACAATATATGACTACATCAAGCGGTCATTTCTAAACCCCCGGGCAACAAGAAGAGGATACAATAAAACAGGAAAAATTAAATTATCATTAAAAAGATAAAAATTAAACATTCACAAGATCAATAAAATAGTTAAAAAGAGTTGTTTTAAAAGATGCATATCAGTATTATGTAAAAATGAGGAATAGGATATCAGTAATATAGGCATTCCTGGTTCGTGGACGGGCCCAAGAGTGCAGAGAGCTGGAGCTACCAAAAAGTTTAGATGGTTTCCCAATCAACACCTACCTTAAATAGTCTCCTCGTGACACAGGTTTGGTTAATAGGCCTAGGCCTATGCCTAAACTAATAGCTCCGGAGGTCTTAAATACAGGTAAACGTTTTAATTCAGGCCAACTTATTAGGCTATTAATTATTATTTAAAAGTCATCATCCGTCCCTTGGACCCGTTGGAAGTCTATGAGATTATTAATAAAACCGAGTCGATGTTTGACGCATTTTTGTCTAGTACCACTATTTTATTCCTCCATGCTAGTACCCAGCGCTTTATAGGGATTAGATTTATGTTACATGTATAATATTAAGTTACAATGTACTACATACCGTACCACTTGAGAATATGTCAGAAAACAATTGAGATTTAATGTGCACCCATGGAGAGACGCTTAACATAGCATTAACCCACTGCATAGTAACGCTCGATTGTGAGCAATTAAAAAATCAACCATCCCAATTGACAAATGAAATCTATAGGCCTATATTTTGTTGGCAATAATGGAATTAATGATTACATAATTTCAATTATAATATTGCTTAATCGTTATATGAACAAAGAGGTACCGGTATATTAAAAAGCATGGGGTCGTTAATTGCGATGATCTACTATTTTTGTTACACCCTTCCTCGCTGTTAATTCGATGTTAGAGGCTGACATTCCCCCTCTCAAACGAACATGGTGACCTATTGTCAGCTTCTTCAATAAAGATCCCAAATGTGATATCAAACCTGGTACTGTATTGTTATTCTCCTTCCATACCTGGCTAAATGTCAACAATGTCCTGAGACCTTTTTGTGATATTTGTAAAACATGGTTTGTTTTGTTGGTTTTTAAACCACTTGTAGTTCCATCAGCAAACATAGGCCTACGGCAGAATTGACCTGGTCTTTAGTGTACCAATGTCATACCATGGAGTTGGCTACAATATTCTGTGGCTGTTGGTGTGTTTTCGTCATACATTTTATTGGTTATGGTGAAGCTTTTTTAATACAGTCGCATTAACAACCGATCGATTCGATTAATAAGTCAACCAATTAGGCCTAATTATTCGATCAATCAATCAATCTATACCAATCAATCAATAACGATCAATCGATGAAATAATGAATCAATCGGTGAATCAGTAAATTGATTCGTTTGATCAATCAGTCAACAGACACCAAATAATCAATATAAATCAATCAATACCAATCAATCGATGGATAAATGGATGAATCAATCAATAAAAGGTTCAATCAATCACCATCAAACCAACCAATCATTCAATCAATCAATCAATCAATCAATCATCCGATTACTTAGTCAATCAATCATCCAGTCAATCAATCAATAATTCGTCAATTAATTAGTCTCATTCGATCAATCAATCAAACAATTCGCCAATCAATTATACAATTAATCATTCGATCAATCTTTAATTCTATCAATCATTCATCCAATACCAATCAATCAATCAATCAATACAAATCAATCAATCAACACCAACCTACCAATTATTCAATCAAATAACCACCAAATCAATAAATTATTCAACCAATCAATCAATCAATCAATCAATCAAGCAAGCAAACAATAATGTCATATTATTTATTAGAAACGAATGTCTTAATACTGTATATCCTACCGGTACTGTACGTGATATGCATTGTATTTTGACCTGAAAAGAGCATGGTTATTTCTACCAGATTATAACATGGACCCCGAAGAAAGAATAAGACGCCGAGAAGAACGAAGAAGACGACGCGAGGCGGAGAAGTAAACAGATCTATATTATTGTTTTATATGTTTTTTATGGTGATGAAGTTCTGCAGTAATGACGTTAATGATGTTGTTATTGCTGATGACGATTATATGGCGTTGTTGATGATAATGATGATGATGATGATCATGATGATCATGATGATCATGATCATGATGGTGAGGATGCTAACGTTTACGATGATGATAATGATAATAATGATCATGGTGGTGGTGGTGGTGGTGATGAAAGATGATGGAAATTATAATGATTGGTGGGAATGCTGACGAACATAGGCCTATTTACTAATGAATATTTTCAAAATGTTATAATGAAGAAGAGCTACCGACGTTGCATATTTTGTATTTTCTAACGACAGAGCTGCTGCATTGGAGCAAGAAACGAAAGAAAGCAATGTAAGTAGATAATTTAAGTTTAGAAATATGTACCGGTACACAAAATCAAGTTTTATGTGAAGCGTAGGCCTGCCAGTGATTTACCCATTTACAGAAAATCGTATAGTTTGGACAAAGCTTTACTAATCCACCATCTTGTGTACTTTATTTTATCGTTTGCCAATTCATCACATAGAAGAGTAACACTTGTCTTCCAGGGTTAATTTTGTATACCGGTGGTCGCTTCGATGATGTGCTAAATTTTAAAAATGAGGGTTGTCGTAATCTAATTAACCAAACCGTCAAAGGCAGCTCTGATTATTTTAATTAGCACAGCATTAAAGATGATACGAATTGGGTCAAACATGTTAAACGGTTTAAAAGACCTGGTTTCGAGCCAAATGCAATATGTCACGATAATTTCAAAATATTACGAGGTGCGTCAACAATTAGGATTTTTCGGCCTATAAGCGACTCACAAGGCGCTTTAGATCTTATCTTTTAACTAATATGGACCTATATACGTTATAGTATTAAAAGTTATATAAAATGTCGTAATACATATATAATCTTTGAACGGTAAAGAAGATATGAGTAGAATTTGATAATGAATCTTTATGAGTAGATTTTTCTCATGATTCATGCCATACGATAGTAAGAAAATGAATAGTGGGGAGTGTTTGGTAGTCAGGATTTGTGCCAGTATATGGATTAAATGGATAAACGTTGGTATGTATGGTGTTGAATTATGAGCAACGAGTAGGCACGCAAATATGTGCTAAAGTCTGCTATTACGTTTACATCTGATGCTTCAATCATATCCATTCGACTGTGCACTATTTTCGTCGTAGGCCCTACACTAATTATCATAATGCTTGTATCGCTTTTATGGATAGGGTTTACATGAAAATTACAAATTGTGATAATAAAAAGTTTTATTTATTTATTAAATATTTTTTAATGTGCCATCATAAGTTAACCAAATTGCTTAAAAAAAGTTTAAACATTTACTTTATTTATTGGAAAGATCCGATCCAGTCGAGAGGAAGCAGCGCACACGTCACATGACTATGAGCAGACGACACCAACACTAGAACCAGAAAAGAACAATGAACCCGATTCAGAGCAGGTACCTACTGAAAACGTGCTCTTTGTGAACGATGACGACTCGCGATGCAATGGCGATAATGAAGAATATGACAATGAAAATGTGGAACAACAAAAGGAGGACTATACATTAATGAACAGACCTGATTCGGATGCAGAGGAATTAACGCCGTCAGTCACGGAGGAGAATAAAGAACGAACTGAAAATAAGGTGAAAGTGGGGAAACTGAGTAAGATATCTCCGCCAAAACCGTAAGTTCCTTAGTTCGCCTTTAAATACAACATTAATTGATCGATTGAATCTTCGGATACTATGAGGTAGTAAATTCTTCATTCGGATATTTGGTGAGAGTTCCAATGTGTATAGTAAATTGACCGAGGTCTACCGTAACTTTCCCAAATACATGAAACGTTTTTATGAATAAGTTGGCGTTTTACTGGTTTTTTTTTTGTTTTTTTTTTCAGGTCACCTAGTCAGAATTCGTCGCAAACTGAGCCCGAAGCTTTAAATGTTTATAAGGTAGACTGTAGTGTTGAATTTTAATTATTTTGTATTGACAAAATCAGATTGATCAAACTGTGTCTGTACGGTGTTTTAATGTTCCATTGTTTTTAACTCTCTTAAAGGAGATGAAGTTGAAGAAAGAACAAGATGAGTCGATGAAAACCGCCCTATTGGAACTGCGATTGGAGCAAACACAAATTCATGAAGAAATAGATTATACTGTTGTTCTACACGAACAGTGATAGGCCCATGCATCTGTGTCGTTAATTAACGGAAAAGCTTCTTTGGAAGCTAATAACACAAAATATACAAAGTAAGCAATCGAAATGTTGATTAATATTGTTTATTAGTTAATTATGATCCTCACATACATTTAACTTATTTATTTTTGTAATATTTTCAAGGGTTTACCAAAATCCCGACTTGAACGTGAGAAGCAGGCAGGTAGTATTCTGAGTAGTGGCGGAGAGATGTGTATAAGAGACAGGTATTCAACAGCAGCATGCGGAAGATCGTCGCAGACGACAACAAGAAGAGGAACAGAAATTGAAACAAGAATTTGAAAAACAAAAGAAAGAACGAGAAATTCGTATGCAGAAAATGGCACATAATCCATATGCCTATCAGGCCCCTAAAGTTACGGTAAATATACATTATGATAATGTCTACAGTTATGTCTTCTTGAAATCTAGAAAACAAGTTTTAACATTAGTATTGATAACATGGCATAGGCTCACAATGAAACTTGAACAGTTTGCCCTAAATAAGAGACCACTTTTGGACCTGAAAATTTGGGATGGTCACGGATCGGTCTCCAATTAGAGGGTTAGATTTGTGTTTAAAGATTGGCGTTTGTTATTTGGTTCTTTAAAAAAAAAGGTGGTCTTGAAGAGGGTTATTGGTGGGTGCACTGTAGTTATATCACCACATTTTTATATATAGCATGTATTCCGTAATCTTCCCACAAACAGACGATTTCGTACGAAACTGTTGCAGTTAAATAACCAGTTTTTTTCGGGGGGGGGGGAGCTTATAAGTTTTATCATATAGAGATGTATAAACCTTTAAATATTTACAATGTGCTGCTAGAATAGTCAAGCTACCCTGAAATTTGGCATAAGAAAGGCTGAAGCACAGGAACGTGAAAAGAAGAAAGTGTTGTCGGAGAGAGTGCAGCCCCTGAATTTTGGACCTAACCCAACAAAAGATAAGTTGCGGCAACTGGCCCAAGAGCTCGTCGAGAAACTGACAACCGCGTACGGAAAATTCTTCGATCTTGAGTACCAAACCGAGCGTTCTAAATACACCGTACGTATTGTGAATCGCATTTTAGTTTAACTGACGAACTGTGAGGATAAAGATTATCTTTTTAACATGTTAATTACTAAATATATGTGTATACATTGTAAAGTGGATATTAATGATGGGGCTTGTGTAAATCTGATTTTCACATTACAGTAATACACTTAATTTGCATACGACGTGCACACTTAAGCGGTCTTTCATAGTTTGCCTTTTGACAATTGTCAATTGTCTTTTGAATGTCAAATGCTAAGTCATACAAACAATTAGGCCTGTATATAATACGTATATTTTTTAATTCGTCTAAATCCTTATACAGATACACGAACTGAAAACAAGAATCAAGGCAATGAATAAATACAGGTTGGTTTTAAAGTATTCATTGGACCGTTACAAACAGTATTATTATTTTAGTTTAGTTTAACTAGCGACTGTGATGATTTGGCCTATTTTGTTTACATGTTAATTATTAGATATAATATAATTTATAGGCCCGCCCTCTAAAGAAAAAGAGTGAAAAAAAGAAGTGGATGAATCCATACATTGATCACGCCGATAGATTCATATATAGATAGAGTTAAAACGAGTAAAATTTCAATCTATTTAGAGTGAATGCCATTGTCTTTCTGGGTTCAAATTCTGCAAATTGCAGTAATATTATTTTATTGACGTCTCATAACTGTTCCATCGTAAGAAAAACAACATGTTTTGAAAATACAAAGGCCTATGCACAGTATAACGATTATCATTTATATTTAGCTATGAGCGGCAGGCGAAGGTTTCTGCAGGTGGTCTGTCAAACATGTAAGTATAAAAATTAATTATTAATTATTATCATTTATTAATTATTATTAATTATTTGTAATGTTAGACAGTACTATATATCATTGAAGCTATTTTCTGAATAGAACCTTTCTGTCTATTTTTGAAGAAGATTAACACTTATTTTGTTTGTGTTTATAGTGTGAAGCAATTAGAGCAGGCGCAAGATGTAAGTGTTTCCATGGTGTTTAACATTATGTCATGTTATTTCCATTAATTAATTAATTAAAAAATGTATTATTTATGTTCTTATTGACGGTTAGATACCGCGACACAGGCCCTCGTCAGCTAAGCGTCATTAGTTAAACACTCGTCTATAAACGCGTTGAGATTTATACTGTTATTATCCTGAAAACCATTAAGCATTTAATCAAACCGTTAATTGCTCACATATTGTTGGAATAACTAATCAACTGCCAATTAGACTCTTGAAATCATTCAATTTTTATTGATTTAAAGAATAAAATTCGGTAGTGGTTATACTGTTGTTCTACACGAACAGTGATAGGCCCATGCATCTGTGTCGTTAATTAACGGAAAAGCTTCTTTGGAAGCTAATAACACAAAATATACAAAGTAAGCAATCGAAATGTTGATTAATATTGTTTATTAGTTAATTATGATCCTCACATACATTTAACTTATTTATTTTTGTAATATTTTCAAGGGTTTACCAAAATCCCGACTTGAACGTGAGAAGCAGGCAGGTAGTATTCTGAGTAGTGGCGGAGTTAAAGCGCGGCTTGCTATGTTTGGTGGAGGGTCGAACCAGTCTAAAAACAATGAGGAGGTGAGTAGTCAGATAGATAGTCAGGGGTGGATTTAGAGGGGAAGGGGAATAAACAATTACGTTTTAGCCCCATCCTTCCCACTAAACGTTAAACCAACATACATGATATGTTATAACATTTTCTACTTCTCCTGGTTAGTACAGACATACGAAGTGAGGATTATCGTACTTGTTTAACAAAAGAAAACAAAATTATACAACTTTGAAATATTAACCTTATAAGACTAAGTTTGCCTGAATGAAAACATTGTATTTGATACTTCTGGAAATATCCTCGTTATTCGTAGGTACCACAAAACACAAACAATCGGAAAATGGTAGGGTAAAAAAATCGTCCAATTTCGACCAAAATCGTGACCTATAGACACTTTGCGTTTTTGCCAAAATTGGGCTATTTTTCCCCTTGTCGTTTATCTGCTGATTCTTATATCATAGTAACTAAGGATCATGAATATAGCAATAGTGTTTAAATTAACCTACAGCATTCATCAAAATTATGCCAGAATTAAGCCTATAATGAATTAATTATATATCGTCAGAATTAACATTATTTAAACGGCCCTCTTCAAATCTGTAGCATAATATTTATTAAACATTCTCTTTACTGAAAAATAATCTTAATTATCTGAAGATATAAGGAGGTCCGATTTATACCTATTATCTTTAAACTATTATAAATTTTAAGATGGCGACGCATTTCCTTCCTTTTTCTTTGCAGGAAACGCGAAAACAGTTGATTGATCTGACCAAGTAAGTCTTAAACTGCCACCAGCATTGCAAACCCACCTGCAGCGATCTCAAGACTTGTAGATTACTCTTGCTTCAGATTCCGCTGTCCTTTAACAAATTATTTATCACAAGAACAGATATTATGTAATTTCAGTATTTTATTGTCCCTTGGTTATTACGAAAATACAGTAAGCCTATATTTATTTTAATTCAAAAAAATACCTTTGATTTGAGTAGATATCCTCTGCTGATAAACGTTTGAAGTTAAAACAAATCTCAACTGAACATTCCAAGAGCAACTGTCTGTTTTAAACTCAATAGTTATATCTTGGTAGTCTGTTGGTAGATATGTTGTTTATTGTTGGTTCGTAAACATTGCTATAACGGTAGTGGCATTACATGCCTTTGAATATATTGGGTATATATACGTCAGTGTAATTATCAGTATAATTATTATCAATAATATTAAACATTACCATTGGTATTGTGTTGATTAGAATATTAGTGCCCTTTTTTAGTGATGTATAGGGGACATTGGGAATTTTCAGAGTCAAATATTACACCCAAGTGGTTTAAACAACGCCATATCTTCCATCCTAGCACCTTCACTTTTTCATCACATCCTCACCTCACACCTCCCTCCCCATTAAATTTTCCTAGATACCCCGTGGCCTTTATAATATGAGCAATACTGATGGATATGAGAACATGTCAGAACAGTAGAACATGTTTATAGTATTATGGTTAGATTTGATGTTGTTTGTTAATGAAAAGAAACTGAAACATGAAAGTAATCTAACGGTAAAACACACATTTATTTATAAAGTTTACACATTTTTGTATTCTTTTACGGAAATTCAATAAAGAAGACACAGGCATCGGTAGGTTTTATGCGCCATCGGTAATAATGCTACTATTTTTATGAAAATTTTGCATTTAATTAAATGACAGTAATATAAGCTCTCAATATAAGATTGATAATCAGAGGTATAGTATAAAGCTACTAATAAATATACATTCCTTTCAGAATATTTGGATTTGAACACTGTATTGCACCGCGTGAGGAAGAACGATTCCTGAAATTAGTAAAATATGGGCATAGACATTACATTAGACAATAATAGCAATAAATGTAGATAGTGCCCTATTATCATCGTAGTGGGATCGGTACCTTTTAGAATAGTCTCAGTTGTAATAATGAAAAACTTGTTCCAATATGAAGAATAATATTACTAATCTCTAATTACGGACGCTAACTTTTGTAACGTTTTAATAATTTTATATTTCTTTTTTGTATTTTAATAATTTAATAACTCATAATAAATAGTATAAAGTACTGTACCTTATTCATTGTCTTGCTACACGTACAATGTCGATATAATAGATGGATGATGAATGATAATGATGATGATTTTGATAATAATGCCGTCGACGAGATGATTACGATTGAGACGATGATGGTGACGAGAGTGATGATAAATAGGCATATTAAATAATGATGATGATGAATTTTACAATGATGATTACGATGACGACGACGACGATGGATGATGGTGATAAGTTTAAAGGATCATGATGATGAGGGTGGTGGTGGCGAGGATGGTGCCGATATTATTAGAGAGTAGGGAGTTTTTGAAATTCCATCATAAACGTTAATCGCACAGCACAAAACTGTTTTTACATATTTAGAATGTCAAACGGATCCATTTTGCGTGCCAATGAAAATGTTTGAAAGTTTTAATAATTTGCATACGATATCTGACAGTACGTCATGCGTTGCTATTTCGAAAACTCCTTATTTACCATCGATGATATTTAAGGGTATTTGAGGACTGGCAGTAATCTGGGATGGACAATGATGGGAACAAAGACGGCGATAGAAACACAATGATTCACAAAGACGACGAGGACGACGATGATGATGATGATGATGAATATGATCGTAATGGTGATGATGACCAACCATTGATATAATGATATAGTTACCTCATACAATGATGAGGGATTAAAGTGACGAGTGATGTGATAACGGTATGAATTGCGTTCTAGGCCCATATCAATGTGTGGTGGACTGGTATGCAGTTAACAATATCCACAATTTTAGACTGAGCGACTTGACGAGGCTTGCAATGATTTTGGAATCGGACTGACAATCAATCATACTTAGTCAAAGTCTGTTCATTTAAAAAATACTTCAGATTTGTTAATGCTTTTCTTCGTCATTGTTGACGCCATCGACTGACTCTTCTCTAGCTTTTCTCTCATAACTTCCTTATACTGTGGATTATTATCCTTGAACGAGAGTTTCCATAATCGCGTCGGACTTGTTCGAACTGTTCCGGTAACACCTCTTTGCGAGTCCCTTTCAAGTTCGGTCATCTGCCGTAGGTTTACGGAATTCGTAGGTGTCGGGTTGGGATCAACACGTTCAAGCTTCGGTCGTTCATACAATCTGAACTCATTCGGCGGAAGAATGTACCCATACTCATCCATCGGCGGAACACGCATTTCGCTACGTAGCTTCAGTTTCTTGAACTCCTTCATATCTTTCTCGGATCTGGCAACAGCCATGGTACGAAGACGATCATTTTCGATTATGGGAACCTCGCTCAGAAACTTTCCTAAAGTATTCGAGCCCATGCTAGAATGCGGAGGAATCTTCATCGGGTACATGTCTGCTATCAGCGACGGGACAGTCTTTCCGGAGGTATCGAGCTTGACGATTTCCTTCGTATTCGTTCGGAAATTGCGCCACACATTGCTGTCAAACGCTGGATCCCATCGACGAGGAAATGGAGGTTCTCGCCGGCCGCTCTCGATCCACAATCGGAATGCATTGGTTGGGTTAACGTTTGTCGACTCGTCAACATATGAACGAACTTTATGATTGACATGAATGTTTGATAGTGTTCTTGGTAGTCGCTTTGTTGTCAGCTTTCCAAGCGGACGCGGACAAAATGCACTTTGTTTGTAGGTTCGATCGGATTGGAGGCGATCGCGCTCCTCTATTGTCATTTTCTCCTGCTCATCCTCGAAGTAACTTTGATCAGGCTTTCCTAATTTCATTACATATAAACCGTTCCTGTATGAGGGAAATAGAAGAAAATAATTAATGATTTAAAACTCATTGAGTAGAAAACAAAGTAATTACGAATTATATATCTTTTCCATTAAGTTTCAAACGAATAGTTGTTACTCGTATTTAAATAATTTATATTGCGTTCATCGAGCCGATACTATTTTATTGTATGTTTACATGTATATTTGACAATAAATTTAATCTGTATCTGTATCTGTAAGAAAGGAAAAGCATGTTGAGGGCATGACACATATTAACTCTTAGGCCTATATTAAACTAAATGTAAGCTCCTTTGTGAATTGCACTTCAGTGCGATAACCATTGCAGCAACCTAAATAAAACTATCACTCGAAAATATTTCAGTTGGTAGGCCGATTCAGTGGCGTATCTAGAGGTCCTGAAATGGAGGGGGGGGGGGGGCGGGGCCGAAAGTGGGGCCGATCGAAACAACACTTTAGGTGGTCCGGGGGCTTTCTAGACGCCCGAAAATCATCTGAGGCGTTTTGGGCAATCAATTATTCTATTTTCCTTTCTTCCTTTTTTTTAAATTTTTAGTTTCCAAAAGGGAGGCGGAAATCCGCCCCTGATATCATAGATCTTTCTGTGGCACCGCGTGTTCACGGGTTCATTTTTAAAAAAACTTGCTTATAGGCCTACCGGTTCTAACTCTGCTTCCCATCTATATAGGCCTAAAGAATTCCGCTTTGAATTGCTTAATCTAAGAACACACAATGAATGACTAAACACCTATGCAGTTTGGATTTCCTATTGCAGAGATACGATAGTTACATATAAGGCCTATCTGTGCCGTTCCATTATAACTATAGCAAAGGACGCTATGCCCTTGAGTACCAAAAAAACACACAGTTAGTACATAGTGGATTTGACTTCCGGGTTGCTAAAGAGGCCTACCTTTCACTGTAAAATGAGCTGTGTGATCGTCTCTAAAGCAACGAATCAAGATGATTGGTGTCTCGTATATCTAATATCATCGTAATTCATCTCTGCATTCATTATAACATAATTCTTGTTTCGCATGCGGCATAAATTTATCGGTGTACTAAAGATGGATTATGTTTGGTTTGTTGACGTGTTGGACTAGATAATTATCACAAGGGGTGATAGGTAAATTAAATAAATATTTCAGTAAATATATTAACTAAACCTAATACATAGTACGTATAATTAGACTAAAATTAATATTTGGTATATATCAACATAATATTTGTGTCAAAACATATTCTGCATGCGCATTACTTAATCAATATGAATTATATTGTAAAAATAATAAAAAATGGAACGGTCCAAATATTGCTTAGCAACTCTGCCGTGCTTGTTTAGCTGTTACCTTAAGTATACTCACCCCCTTTGATTCATTTAATATATGACTCCTAATTAAGACATAAATTTAATATTGTCAATGAAAACATTTCAAAACATCCAAAATGTGAGTTCGTATAAATTGATTATTCTTATATCGTTATAATAGGAGAAATTTATTAATTAAGAATATTGGGATTAATATCTTGGCGGGGGACGTCATCAAATTTACCGACAGCAATGTCTACTCGACGATCAATATTAATAGTTTCTGAAAGAGAGGTTATTTGAACGCTTAGATTAGGAGCAGTTAACTATACGATAAAACCATACGGAATAAATTAAAATGATGAATTCCACTGAATTAAGACACATTAAGACGTAAAACTAAGGTGAGTTTCGAAGAATACGTTTTTTTTTTTAAATGTAGGCCAGCTACTATGCTGTTTCCCCCAAATAGATACTCATAATTTGAGTCGCTCAGTAGGTTATTTATTCTCTAGGGCAAGCTTCCACAAACACAGTGTACATTACACCTCACAACTAGGCTTCATTATATTTACACATTAAATGGTTTGTGTGCCTCCTTTTCTTCCCATGACTACTAGGGCATGTCGTGGTTTTCGACGGGGTGGCAAACCTGAGCCCATTGGTGATTTTGCCTTTCGACGTATCTACATAGGCCTATAGGTTTATATAATCTAGGCCTTTATTTTGTATCGACAAAAATAATAATTTTCGAATAAACCTATATAAAGTATAATATCAACTTTCTCCATGCAGAAAATATAGGCTTCCAATAATAAATCATAATTATTATGTAGGCCAAAAAATTATCGACATAGGCCTATAGGTTTATATAATCTAGGCCTTCATTTTGTATCGACAAAAATAATAATTTTAGTATAAACCTAAATAAAGTATAATATCAACTTTCTCCATGCAGAAAATATAGCCTTCCAATATCTGTCTCTTATACACATC